CCCAAACCACACACGAAGGCAACATTTACATTACATTTAAGACATACAACTGCAACGAAAGTAACAAAAACAATTATGTTACAGTACTATGATACTGTACTGATATCTTCAGACTTTGTTCTTTACTTTATCCGTCTTTATATGTAGAAAATATTACGTTTTCTCCGTAATGTTGTTTCCATAGCAACAACAACTTCCTGTCATCTCTCCTTCAAAATAATATATTATATCCTTTTCAGTTTCACAGAACACAAATTGGGTTATTTACATAATATGTTTACATGATTTTGTTGTGCAATAAAACAACCCGATGGACACACGATAAAGGAAATGTTCAAATTCGGCTCTGATCGTAGCAACATCGGGCTATTCGTGAGGGCATCTTAAGCCATCGTATGACCGCCGGTGGAGTTTCTCAGGCTCCGGCAGCAACTTCGTGAGCGGTGGGAAAATCTTTGGCATGCCAAAAAATTGCAGAAGGACCTTGCGAAGGTTCATTTTCGTGTTGAATTTGTGTGTCAATTGTGCCCTTCGTAAGGCCATCGTGAGGGCATCGTGTTATCATCGGTACCATCGGGCCTTCGCCCCGATCAGAGGGAGGGTGAATGCCCGATGGCACCGATGATAACACGAAGATGACACGATTCGACAAGATGCCCTCACGAGTGCCTTACGAAGTTGCCGCTCACGAAGTTGCTGCCGGAGCCTGAGAAACTCCACCGGCGGTCATACGATGGCTTAGATGCCCTCATGAATGGCGCGATGTTGTTACGATCAGAGCCGAATTTGAACATTTCCTTTATCGTGTGTCCATCGGGTGTCAATTTCGGGACAGTGTGACAGGGCCTTTAAAGGTAGGCTGACTGTTAAAGTGGAACAGCTATTATCACTTTAGTTACAAGCTAATCACCAGATTTGCAACCACAACTCTAACCACAGGAGGTCTGTATTATTATTTCAATAAAAAGACTAGATTTATAAATACTGGTAAAAGCCCATAATATCGTATCATATTTGAGTCACTTTTTGACTTTAATTTAATTGAAATCTTGCCGTAGCAGATTTGGGATTCCGGCTAATATCGGATCATTTTCCAAAGAATCAATCGAATGTTGTACCGTGATGAAACACCTCTATTATCCAGGTGGAAATATAAAACAAATTGACAATGTGGAACTTGATCAAGGCTAAGAGCACAAGTAACACGTTTAATCAATAAGTTGATCAAGAGAAAATTCCTGAGCAACTATTTTTATAATAAATTTAGTTTTTTTTTTTAAATATGGTGATAGATTGTTAATCTGTGACCTAATACCAGGCTGAAAAATGTTTCTCTGCCATCTCTGCTTGAGTCGGTTGCACCCGACCACACGCAACACTGATGTCATGCTGTACTGACTAAATGTTGTGCTTCATTCGTGCTAATGTATGAACCTTTGTATCAAAATTCAACTGCTTTCATTCCACACTGCATCTTAGCAAAACATGAATAAAATGTTGAAAATAAAAAGCACTGCCATTAGTTTAATGTGGTGCTACACCCCTGCTAATAACACATTAAAACATCAATACTGCAAAGATCATGAACATTAAAATGTCCAAATTGTGATTGGATTTAATATAAGATTAAATATGCACCCCTAAGATGCTCCTTTTTTTTTGGGAGGTGGCTTTCTGTACAGCTCCTCCTTGGAGATAACCACTGACGAAACAACACCTTCCTTTAATGGTGGTATGACTCAAACTCCGTTACAACCATTAAAATAATTTGATGCTGCACTGCATGCCTATCCACCCATTTTCTATAATTTGTCCTAAGGTCCCAATCTTATGAATGAGAACAGCATTTTTCTAAGAAGCACAGATGATTCATAACTGTTAATATCGAAGAGCTTTTCTTTCATGGTGCCATCATTTCACAAAAACAATTATTTTGTCCAGATGGTGGTTTCATCATTTTGGAAGAAAGGTCTTCACAGGCTGTGATCTCAAATGGTTCAGGTCATTAACGCGCTGACTTCTTCTGTCGAGTCATTATTCAGGCTTTTATCTTGGACCGACATAAAACAACAACAACAGCAGCTCCGTCTAATGCAGCAGCTGGCAGATTTGAGGTCAGCGGAAACATAATTCAATCCAAAGTCTTTGTTCTTCTGCTCATTATGCCTCTCAAAAAGTTTTTCATGACATAGTTTTCCCGTGGAATAATAACTTTGGAACTAGATGAAGGTGAATTATCAAATAACACACTATTTTTGACTACGCCTAAATAATTCAACATTAAGGTGTCATATTTCTCTGTTTTTTTGTATGATACTAAACTACATTTCTTGATTTATATTTTCTGTAAACATTTTAGACGAAAGTATTAATAAGTTGAAGACTTATATGCGTAGTTAACACACAATAAACTTGGAAACGATCATTAGAATTATGTGGATATAATGACAAAACAAGTCAAAGTAGAACAGTCGAATTAACAATTTAAGACATACTCTCTGCTACAGTGTATTACAATATTAACATATCCAAAGTCCTAGATTTTAGATGGGTGATTAAAAGGAAAGTGTTCATTAATTATTAGGGATGTAACGATACCAAAAACTCACGGTACGATAGTATCGCGATAAAAAGTCCACGGTACGATAGGTACATATGTATCGCGATATTGAAAAATAAAGGGAAAAAAATGTGAATTATAATTTTTTCTTTATTAAATAATAAATCTGACTTGTACAGCATTTTAGTAGGATAGTAGTATTTTAAAGTGGCAACAATATAATAATCAGACTCTGCAATAGAATAAATCAAGTTTCACTTTAGTTTTTCAAGTAACTCAACTCTAACTCACTCACTCGGCATCCTCAAGGTTATCTTTTAGGAATATGAGCATGTCCACATTTCCAGGTAGAAGCTGGGATGTTTGGGCGTTTACAAAATCCCCTGCTGTGGAAAAAACTCTCTTGCTTGGTACTGATGTTGCTGGGACAGAGAGATGATGATGATGATGATGATGATGATTCAACTTATTGTCATTACGTAGTACAGGTACTATGTAACGAAACGGTTTCTCTGCATTTGACCCGTCCTAGTGTTAGGAGCAGTGGGCTGCCATTATGTACGGCGCCGGGGAGCAGTGTAGGGGACGGTGCCTTGCTCAGGGACACCTAAGATATGCTTTGGCCATGGGTAACAGCAGTGGGTAAAACTGTGCATTGTCTCTCCACCACTTCAAAAACAATACAGTTGTTGCCAAGAAGGTGAGGCTTATTGACAGGACGAGATATACATATCCTGTTGGTACTTGTCAATGTCTCTAGGTATGTACATGTAGCCCTGTAAATACGATGTGTTATCTGTTGTTTTATGTTCATGTTGTAACCTACTTGCTGCCATGTTGGAGAGGTCTCCCTTGAAAAAGAGATCGATGATCTCAATCATCTGGTTAAATAAAGGTTTTAAAAAATAAAAATAAATCGTTGTACATTTTGTCAGTCTCACGACGGTATTGAGACATTTATTTACCGCGATATCGCGATATTCGATATATCGTTACATCCCTATTAATTATTGAAGAAACAAATAATGCAGATGCTTTCATACCGGGCAGAATAGGTCACTGAATGCCAAATAATGTTATTATCCATTAATATTATTATTTTTATGATGGTTTGGTTAATACATTAGCATTAAAACGTAAACAATTGGCAATTGCAATATATCAAGAGGTGCAAGTTGAGGTATACAAATTGATAACTTTGTCCAAACAATCGTCAAAAAGCCAAGAGAAAATTCATTGTGTATTTCCAAGGAATTCAATTTCAGTCTCATCTTTTAATCAAACAATCACAAGAAGACCATAAAGGGCTCAAAATAGCAAAGCAAGTTTAGATAGATAGATAGATAGATAGATAGACAGACAGACAGACAGACAGACAGACAGACAGATAGATAGACAGACAGACAGACAGACAGATAGATAGATAGATAGATAGACAGACAGACAGACAGACAGACAGACAGACAGATAGATAGATAGATAGATAGATAGATAGATAGATAGATAGATAGATAGATAGATAGATAGATAGATAGATAGATAGATAGATAGATAGATAGATAGATAGATAGATAGATAGATGGACAGACAGACAGACAGACAGACAGACAGACAGACAGACAGACAGACAGACAGACAGACAGACAGACAGACAGATAGACAGATAGACAGATAGATAGATAGATAGATAGATAGATAGATAGATAGATAGATAGATAGATAGATAGATAGATAGATAGATAGATAGATAGATAGATAGATAGATAGATAGATAGATAGATAGATAGATAGAGAATACTTATGATACATATAAAATATTCAATAAAATACACATACTGGGATTATATGACTACAGCAGATGAGTGTCATTGGCCAGTGGCACCTTCCAGAAATTAATCCTTCCCTCCCATCTATAGCACACCCCTTTACTATTGCTGCTATAATAGAAAGAAGTAAAGGTCGGTGCTTCAGTAGTTAAACTGCTACAACCCAGCCAAACACCTGCTTTATCCAGACCACAAATGTTTTTTGTGGCACGAAAAATTGGCAATTTACTGTGATAGAAACATAAATCTCACAGATGTGCATATACCACCTGGATCAGAGCAGTACAGTAAAGACAACTCAGACTTCCATCTGGCGACCATAAAGGCAACCCACTGCCAACAGACGCACACAATTCAGCTGTACTCATCTTCAAACTCTCCATTTAAGTCCCAGCATCATTCAACTTCCACTGCTGTTACGAAGATAAAACTGACCCTAATCAGGATGCTTTGCACGCTAAAATGGCATTGAAAACGCAAACGGCGTGGTGCGTTTACTCTCCACTACATCCATCGTGGTGACCCTGCAGTTCCCTCCATGTCAAGTGTCAAACATGCAAACTGTTTAAAAACATGTGTTAATGTGTGGGACACCTGCAGCAGTTTGTACTCACCTACAAGACACCGTGAGTTCAACTTTGGTGGCAGGTATCGCAGCGGTGAAAGGGTCTGCGTCCCCAATACAAGCCATATTCATCGCGGCTTGGTGGATCACAATTGGCCCCGTATCCAGCGCCTTAGCGGCGGCATGAGAGGGACCGAAACAAAGAGGGATGGAAAGGAAGCTTTGCAATGAGTTGAGACGATAACATACGTTACTGGAAGCGAAAAGCAGCGGAGATAAAGGGGGAGAGAACCGCGGACGCAGAGCTGCAGCGCGCCGGAATCGCGTCTCTGTGCGCCTCGGTGCTCCAGAGGAGAGAGGACTGTGTGAAGGGGAGGGAGAAAAAAATACACACACACTCACACACTCACACACACACACACTCACACACACTCACACACACACACACACAGGCTACACACGATGTGGGAGTGTACAGTATTCATCCAGTAGTAACTACCAAATAGCATGACGGGGATAAATGGGAATTCCACCGTTCTCTTTAAATAAAAAATGTCAGATTAAACCCGTTGGGGTCTGCTTTAGTTCAGATTCTGGATTTTGGTGTTCAAATGACATTCATGTGGATGGGCTAACGGTTTAAAGAACATGTAGTTTATTTTGAAGTTGGGTTGTGGCATTACTATAGTTAAAATCCACTTTAGAAAGCAGAACAACAATCTACTTAGAGACATGCTAACGGCTCTAGTGGTTGTAACGTTATTAGCATAATACACTAGCTAGCTCACTTGAACATTACCCGACAAAATATATCGGCCATGTTTGGAAAACCCTTAAAAACTCACCATTGCTAAGACAATATTTTAACAACCAAAGTATTATTTCGTCAGCTATACGATACAAATAATAAGTTGTTAAAGTTTAGAGTTGTCTTCCTCCGACGGGCGGCCATCTTTGTTTGATTCTAAAATGGGAACAACAGATTAAATTTAAAAAATGCATAATTTAGTGGAGAAAATATCCTAGGAGAACTTTATAGAAAGTTCAATATAGACTGACAAAACATAATATAACTGTAAATCGTGGTTGGTAAGGTTTTTGATCGATATCCTCATTGATTATCTCACAGGGAGCTTATATTCATAGATTTAAACCTCATACTTAGGACCACTTCCTTTCTTTTAATGTAATTCAGACTTCATTACCGTTGTCTGTTAATTCAGCGGGATATTAAGGGTTAAGCAGCCCTGTGTTGTTGCAATTAAATTATCTCTTTTCCCAGCAGGTTGACAATTACTGCGAGAAAAGAGCAATTTTGTTATTTAATTACTTGTTTTCTCTTTGTTATGAGCTCATGTGGAGGAGGTTACATTATCCCAAAGCTTATTGTCTATGCAACTATCCTTCAAATATTAATGTAATTGGGATGAACAATATCAAAGAAAACAGTTAGTTGGCTTTTCGTTCATCTTAATTATGAATATCAAAGCAAATACATTATAGAATAATTAGGCATCACATGGATTATAACCCTTCTGTAGACCTGCACATTGTAACACTCTTCCTTGGTAAAAGGCGTGTCACTGAGGCCAGAGCCATGATGACAAAGAGCACCTGAGTAGCAAAGCAAACTCAATTCACCAGCCCAGCATGAAACTGAGAGCTAAAAATGGGACCTTATGTGTCAGCTTCAATTAGTCTTCAGAAAGAGACAGGTCATTCTGCAGGTCAAGCACCTGTGAGATTTACCAAATAATGAGTCATTGGTTATCTGTGGGGTGATTTTGTTTTCACTGACTTGCATGTGTTAGCCCTTTCATTGATTCAAATGTAGCTTCTCAACATCCTGTTATTGTCTAATAGAGGAGTGCTGTCCAGCCTTTCTGCCTTGCGACCCCTTAAACCAAAGTCATCATCCCGTGAGCCTTATTATGGACGACTTCAGAAGGTACTGTTAAACAGACATACCGTAGTTTATCCACTATAACTAATACATTAAGATTAAGATTATATGTTATTTTTTATATATTGCTTTATTATTCTCCTACCAACCATTAGGATTAATGTCGGGCATTCTGTGGAAAGTATAGAAATGAATCATATTATTTTAGTCTTTACATTTTTGGTTTATGATACATCATCTTATAACCTTTAAATGTATCGATCTAGTTTTAAGATTGCCATTACATTTCCTATTTTTCTATACCAAATAAATGTATAACATAAGTGTTTTTATGAGTATGACTTATAACATGTACACCTAAAGTGTTGGCATACTTACAAAGTATCCTTAAAACCTAAAAAATCCCAAACCATGGACATAGCTTTATAACCTATAGCTCGCCATCTGTATATCACAGTGCCGAAGCTGCACTTTCTCCATATTAGTATCTCGTCTGTTTCTCCGAGTCACGTTTCAGATGAAGGAACTTAATGTAGCTGCCAACATCTCATTTCAGTACCTGAAAGCAGCGCCTGACAATTTGTCATTAAAAACGTCCGAAAGATGTTCTAACTCCCTTTTTCCCCAAAGACAAAAAACGAAAGAAAAACGAATAAGACATTGGGTGACCTCTATCAAATCATTCAATGTTGTCTTCTAATTGTATCTCTGTCCTGAAGACTGCTGAGTTGTGGCTACATCTTTTACATCTTAAATACATCAACTCTACTGTCAGGAAGCACCTTGCTGGAAAGAATGTTAATATCTGCCCATTCTGGTTCATGCCAGGAATACAGATACAGAAATTCTAATTAAGTGCGAAAACTCTCAGCTTCACACATATAATGGTGGTTCTTGCAATCGTTGACAGGTACTCAGTGATCTGGATTGAGTTACCAATTACCAGCATTGAAACACTTTTTTATTTTGTATTCTGAAAAACACACAGCTGTATTGGCTCTATATATCCTCTGCACACAGAAATGGAGATAAGGGAGAATGTTGGCAAACTCCATGCACCAAATTCAATTATCTTTTAAAGATATTCTTTGCGGCCGGAGAGAAAGCTGTTACACAAAAATGGCTTCAGAGCAGGCCTCGATCAAAGACTAACATGTGACTAAAATTTAGATAATTACTTTTTTGCTCAATCTGCACTTTCATAAATTCGTGCAATACTGGTCAAAGTTAATTGTGTTTGTGTCCATTTTAATTTATTACTGATCTGTGACTGAAAGTGCCATGTTTTTCTATCAGTAATAGTATTTGCATGAGTGCATACAGTAATTGACCAACCTCTGTTTTATTGTATATGTATGCTTTATGTCACTTAAGGAAAGATCCATGCACCAACATAGAGGTGTTTGTAGAATCTTTTTCTTTTATAAAACCTTTTTTTTGCACTTTATTATGAATTGTTGATGTTTCAACAGCATGCCTATGACTACAAAATATTAAATACATGTGATGTACTTTGTGTTTGAAGCTTTATGCCAAATGTCAGCATGCTAACAACGCTAAGCTAAGACGTAGTACATATCTAGCATTCTAACATAGCATTTAGCTTTAAGGCAAAACAAGGTAGCTTTTTTTATACAGCTCATTTCAGACAAAGATGCAATTAAAAGTGCAATAAGGGGCAAAACCCTTTAGCCCTATACAAAAATTCAAGCTAAAATGATAAGAGAAGGTAAACTAACTCACGGACATGTGCAACATGTGAAAAAGGGGTCATAATAAGCAACTGCTAACATTTTAAGGGGCTAACACAATACCTTTATATAACCAGGAAAGGGCCTGACCAAGATTAAAGATATTAGCAATTAGCTCAAAGCACCACTGTGCATGAGTTCTTCCTTACAAAGTTGCTAAGCGTGGACACTTAGTCTTGTTTCAATCTGTTTTGTTCTGCCGAGAGCTGAGATCATTTGGACTAAATGATCTCAGCCTTTCTTCAGCACAAGTGCAATAAGAGCTCCATACAGCAGCTGAGGGGTGATCCAGTGAAGTGGTGATTATTCAGAGAGGCTTTGTCCAGCTCTGAGGTGTAGCTGCCTGCCAAATGAGCTTAAATATTGAACACTATTTTATTGGGGAACTGTGTGTACTACCTCCCATTTATATTCTTCCGTAGCTGTTATAACTCTTTGGAGATCCATATTAGTCATGAAATCATTAATAGTTTGTTTGAGGATTACGCTTTGATTGAAACAGTCATTTTAAAGTGTATTAATTTATTCCGGGTTGGTAGGAAGATTCATCCTTTAAGCCTAAAGTTTGACTTTAATCAAAACACTTGAACGACTTGAACGTGGGTTTAATCCCTGAAATTGTAAAGTACTTTTTGCGTTAAACTGCGGGTGCATCCGGACTGACAGAACTGTATTATAGTTATGCCTCAGTGCCACAAATAGATTTCAAATTATCCGAGTGTGAAGCCGCTCTAATGACTGTCTCTTCAATCTCCCCTCTCTTAATTTTACAGAAATGAACTCTTGCTGTGATAGACGCATGAAGTTTTTGTCAAATTAATTAACACCTTCAACCCTGACCGACCCACTGGTGTTTCTGATTTGAAAAGCTCATGTTGCGGGGTTGTTAAAACCAACAGGACTTTATTGAAGACACTTGATAGGATTCCAAACTTTCAAAAAAGATTGCAAATATAATGCTACATTTAAAGCAAAGTGTATTCAATCATATTCTGATTTGATCAAATGGTGTCAAAATATGGTATTGTACACAACCTAAATAAATTAGGTTACATTCTCACTAAGGTTGGCATGCCAATACATAAAACTGAGATGGTAAACAAGGACAATGTTTTATCATTGTCATTGTTAGCATGCTGACATTTAAATCTTTAAATGTTTGGCCATTTGCTTAATTTCTTGTCAAAAAAGGGGAAAACATTTAAAGTGGTTTATCAAACCAGTTAAGCCCGAAGGTCCCCCCAGTGGACCCCTCCCACCGTTTTTTTTTTCTCACATGTCTCAGGGCTTCTTAACATTTATGAAACTATTAATATTTCATACCCTTTTAAAGGTAAGAAACTCCGCTAACTGACAATAAGAACAATTGTTAGCTAAAAAAAACACAAGAGTAATACCAAGCCTTTGAATTAGCATTGAGCGAAAAAATGCTAACTAATGCTAACGCTTTTTTTTACACACAACACACGGTAGAAATGCCCTTATTACTATCTTAACTGCACAAACAAGATATACGATTTAAAGCTGAGACTCCACAGATTCCACACATGTAATGTCATCACTGTAAGACCTCGAATTCCTGGAGCTATCAGCCAGAAAAGAGAAAGTAAACAACATCCGGTTCCAAAAATATTACAATAATTACGTCTTACCTTTTTTGATTTGTGATCAAAAGTTGTGTTCAACGGAATAAAAACGCATCTCAAGATTAATCCAATGTCTTTGTGTCACGTATAATTTTTTACTGATAATCAATCATCATATTTATGGCAATATACTCGGTATAAAGTATTGCCGTCCAGGCTTGCACTTTCAGATATGCTTCGTTTGCTTCTCTATTACGTCCGCTATGGTAATGTTTACGTAGATTTGGGAACTGCCCATCGATTCTATTGGTTCTGATGGTTAAGAAAAATGTGTAAATCACACGAATCGACAAATACAAAGACATAGTCATTTAGACACAAAACAATTTTGTTTATATCACTTCTGATTAAAGGGTGAAGTCATTTTAATAAAGTTCTGTAAAACAGGGGTGTCAAACTCAATTTCATCGCAGGCCTATATACATATATAAATATATAATATATATAAAATAATGTATTATATATTACATTATTGCCTCTGAATTGGATTATTATTGAATAGGATAATAACTTCGTACATCTGAAAGCAGAAGTCCAGGGCAAATAATTGCAAGTCTCTTCAGTGCGCATGTCACAAAACGAGATGCATTGTGGGACGTGTAGTTTATGGGTAACGTGCTTCTGTAAAGTGGCATGTAAACGTATTATAATCTTTGCAAGCTTTTGCGGGCCACATAAAATGAAGTCGCGCTCCGGATTTGGGCCCCGGGCCTTGAGTTTGACACCCCTGGTATAAAACGAACACACCCTCGGCACCTGGTGTAATTTGACATTGTTCAGCGTTAAAAAAGGTCTTTCAAATCAAATTTGTGCTGAGGTAAGTAAAACTCTGTCTCTAAGGGTCGGAGATCTGCTCTCTGAACAGCAGGGCCCGGCTAAAAATGTGCACATCTCTGCATCTTCAGCAGAAACAGCTGGTGGGGCTGTTTTTAAATGAGGATTAATAGACTTACATCAAAGAAAGAGCTTCTGACCAATGAACAATGTGCTGTTTGTGGAAAAAGCCAGCAAGCGTTGCAACAATGGGGATGGCTTTGTTGAACAAGAAACGAGTCGGTGTGCATTGAGAGTGATTTAAAGACTTTATTTTTGTCTGTAGACTTTAGTGGCACAAAGTGGAAAGTACTGCTGAGTAAACGGGTCAAATTGAAGCCAACATAACCTCGGTGTCTTGCACACACATCCACACTGTAACACTCCCATCAGGTGGCCGGTGATTATGCTTCCTATCACACAGACCTGCAGGTTCTTGCCGGAAGACCCTGATAGCCCTCCTGAGTCGTAAAATGATGTATCCGAGTAAAGTTTGATTGCTGTCCCTGCATTGTGGCAACATCACATCTTTCTCTTAGAGTTGTCAGATTTGTGTATCATTTGGTAGAGATCGAGTCACAGATTTGATTAATTTAGACTGGACTTTACTAAACTAAGCACATTTGTTTTTACTCTTGGGATTGTGAGTGAAGGAATATGAGTAATGTGACTGCTTTGCTTATTATTTAAATGCCTACAATGTTAGATAAGTCGATTTGGACATGGACAACTAAGGACAGGTCAGTCCTGGAGGTGCTGCTGCTGCCATCTTGTGGTAAACGCTTCAAACATTTGTAAGAAAAACTTGTTTCTTGACTTAAGAAAAGAAACGGCAACTTTGGGAATATCAACTGGGATCAGAGATAGTAATAAAGATTGCTGGAGCTTGTGTCACATGCATCCAAATCATTCTGGTCTTGTGTGAAAATTAGGATATTTTGGGGGAACTTGAAGAGATAACTCCTAACAGAGAAATGGATAATATATATATAATAACATATAAAGAAAAAATAAAAATAAAAACTAGCACATTAGGGGATATTCCTTTACATTTATTTTAGTCTATTTTATAATACATGTTAACGGTTCCAAATTAAAAGTGACAAGAAAATATATACAACATTTATTTGTTGACCTGCTGCAATGTGTGATTCCTGGGACAGTGTTAAACCCTTCCTCCAGTAATACTGCTGATAAACTAACACAAGGAAACGAACTGAAAAATAAGGTGAGGGAAGAGAAGATTGAGTTGTTAACACACATCCCTTAAAATGTCTTTAAGGTGTGCTCCGAACCAATACATTCATCTTGAAACAGTGCTATGTAAATGCTAAATAGGGTAACTTAGACTAAAGTGTTGCCAGAATGAGAAACTAATGAGATGAATATCTAAAAACAAGGAAAAACAAACTGTAAACTACTTTTCCAAAAGCAGAACTGTAGAAATGATTTAAAAACACAACTATAAATATTTAACTAGCTGCAGATTTATTAACAGTACTAATAATTATTTAAATGACTGGCAGAACCAAAAGACACCCAGAGTTGGTTGTTTTTGACAGATGGCATTTATTCTCACCAAGGCATCTGACATTAGAATCGCTACAGAGTCCGCCATTTGGGAATGGCTGCTAAAACTCCAGAGAGGGAACGCCCAGGATATGTGGAACAGGAACAGCATAACAAATAAAACGAAGAAAAAAACTAACCGTAGGCCACTAAACACAATCTGCCACCTCATTGGAGGAAACACTCCTTCCAAAGCTTTAAAGCTCTTCAGTCTTCCCGCCAATTCTGGTCCTCTCGGCTCTCTGTGGTCCCACAAAACTAACATTCAGTCAGATTTATTCTTTAAATACATTGTTTACATACATTAGATATGTACTTGAATAATGCCTACAGCTGCTGTTTCACTGAACATTCAAAAGTGACAGCACACAATCGCGACAGAGACATGAGGGAGACCACGAGCGTCTGCAGGAAGAAGGATCAGAACTGGGAAGGCCTCTACTTTCAAGAAAAAAGATAGCATAACATTTATATACATACACAATGCTCTGTGGTGAGCGGACCTCACCCGAGGTCCATGACAGGAAGCCCTCTTATAGGGTTAGGAGAATAAAAGGTGAGCACACAACATAGCAGCAGGGGGTTAGACGAGGACTCAGTAGTGTAGATTAAGTGAGAGCTAACTGCCACACGTGAAGAGAGAACACGTTTTTACACACAACGAAACATGTAGTGTAGAATATCCTCAAACGCTGAATCTGCTCACATCTACAAAGGATTAAGTGCATCGCAAAGACTTATTGTGTCGGATTAGTTTGATATTTTGGGAAATACGTTTAATCGCTTTCTGCCATTGAGAAGCTCAATACTAGCTACAGCTAGCATAACGTTAGCCTATAAATAATACTGGCAGCAGCGGGAAACGGTTAGCTTGGCTATGGCTAAAACACAATCTGTTAAATAGCAAATAACTTCCTGTAAAGCTGCACATTTTATTTGTTTTCCTTTTAGTTTGAGTTCCGATAGAACAAACACGATATTTATGTGTAATAATTAGTGAGCTCTTAATGTGCTGGAAGTCAGATTTTGTTTATGTTTGGTGGAGCAAGGCTATACATTTCCCACCGTTTCCAGTCTATGCTTAGCTAAGCTAACCAGCTGCTAGCTGTAGTCTTACATTTAAAGGGCAGATATGAGAGCTGTATCATCAAACTACTGGAAGGAAAACAAATAATCACATTTCCCAAAATGTCAAACTCTGGCTTTGTGTAAGTGAGAGTTACTTTACAGTGAGTTCAGTTCACTCGTGCAATGCAGGACAGCAAAGACGACACGCTTGCACAATTTTGGTTGCTGATCTTGAACAGCTGCAGAAATTGAGGAACAATAGCAGGAAGGGGAAAGTTAAGGGGAACGGTGATTCTTCTTATGTTAATTGGGGGGGAAGGAGCATGGGGGGCATTGGTTCTGCTTCGAATGCAGAAAAACAATCCATGCTATCCGAGAAACTGGAGAACTAGGCTGAGAAGACCAGCTACCAACCCGATAGCTCTGCAACATTTTTCTCCTCTTAATAATCTACGTCATTGCTAGTTATTCTAATCTAACACTGCTACCCTTTTCTGGGTATTTTTGAGCCTACAGGTGGAGTGCACTTATCAGAAGAGCGATTTTCTGAGTAGTGTTCAACTCTTAAATAAAAGTCTTGTTAGTACAATCTAATCATGATCCACGGTGACGTATCGTCTACAGCGCAAAAGAGAAAAACATGTTTTTCCTGCAAAGAGTCACCAATAAGACATTGATAATAACTAATTAGCACGACCCTCTGAGTGTATGAAAATCACGAGTTTGCTAGTTTCTGTTGAGATGAAACTACTTTCCTTCTGGTTCAGTCATAACGGTACATGGCATAAAGGGTGTGTGTTTTAGGAGTCAGCGTTGGGCTTGAGAAGTTAGGGGGTCAAAGTGCAGGGCAGCAGCTTTAAAAGATGCCTTCAGTGTCCTTCCAACTATTTAGTTACTGGCCACTTCGTCCGCATTGTCAACCGTCTCTAAAGTGCTGTCCAGTCCACCGCGGGCACGCCAGATCTTCACGGTCCGGTCACTGGAAAACAGAACGAAGAAACAGTCAACAAAAATGTAAGAAAGACAACGTTCTCTGAACCCAGACGCCTTAAGAAAGCATCATTTTGCATAGATGTCAAGAGCATGGTGATTTTACATTCCATTTAAATATGTATTTGTTTTTAAACACTGCATGATCTGGCTCTAGGTTACCTATCTGAACCTATTCCTTACACACATCCAGTCAAAACCAAAAGATGTCTGCCCTAACTTGTGAAATATCTTGGCTTCTCTGAGACTTGAGATTTGCAAACGACTGTTCAAATCGAGGAGCAACAGATTTTGACCTTTAGATTTTAGCTTTGACCTTTAGACAACCAAAAGTCCTCAGGCCATTGTATGCTGATGCATGTCTATGTATTCATTTCCTTTGGGCAATACGTGCACATAGAAACTGTAAAGGATATTACAATTCAGTTTAGGTTTCAAGTACTTTACGTACGTTTAACCCATAAGAACCCGGACCCAGTTCTACTTTTGGGGAAATTAAGGGGAACATAATTTAGACTAAATAGACCACCTAGAACACATTTCTGACAAGTAACCCCACCAAGTGTCAAATATCTGAAATATGACATGTCACATTGGGCTTTAATGGTAAAATAACTCTTATATATAACTTCATTAATGAGGATGATTTTTTGGTTTAAATTAATTTGAACATTCCTTGAATTGAAGAATAAGAACATATTAACTCAATATAATTGAATCAGCTAAATTAACTGAGCAGATCATAATAATATTTCTAATTGTGCATATATGTGTCACTTTGGGTTTACTGTGAACGTTTAGGGTTAAAGTCCCGATCAGTGTCACAGCAATGTTTGTCCCATTTGTTTCATATCAATTTGATCGATACATGTTTCCACAACAGGTTAAATGTAATAAAGGACATGTTATGTAAGCATTTTCATTCTTAAATGGCTTGAATGTTACCTTTAGCAACAACAACAAAAAGCTTTTGAAATGTAGCTAGTTCGGTCACATGTGTTAGTCTGGCACATGGACATCTTGGACATGTTGTTATGGGAACACAAAATCAAATGACCTGGCCCAGGACCCACCAGACTGTTCAGTGTGTGTCACATTTAAAGTTCATGTGACTACTGTGTCACGGTGGGTCCTTATGGGTTAAAACCTGCAAACATGACTTTTATGAAGATTTAAATATTTGTTCAAAACTATTTTAAGTAAGAAAACTTTAACAAGAACAAATGCTTACAGCAGCCTAAAGCACCTATATTACAAACAGAAACATATATTTAGAGCTTTGTACATTATCAAAAATATATAAGTGATACAATTAAAGTTTGTTGTTGTAAAAACTATTTTCTAAATATAAAAAGAATCTCAGTAAAAACGTAAGTTAGTAAAAAAAAAGAAAATAAACCTCTTTTAGGACTTATTTGTTTGTATTTTAAGCAATATATATATATATATATATATATATATATACACTCACAAATGTATATATATGATATTTTAATAATAATAATAAACATATGTTAACGAATGATATACAAATATTTGTGTTTTATTATTTTCATTTTTTTTTGGGGGGAATTTCTTCCATTTTCTTTTATAAATAAGTTCTACAAACTACACTACATCTGTCAATGGAGCTTTAAGGCTTCATCTTAACTCGCTATATAACTGCAGGACTAATGACATATGAAACAGGACATGTGTAGAAAAGTACATTGAAAAGAACCCTAAATCCAACCAGTTGTCATAGCAGGGACTTAGGGACGTGGAAACAGTTTGATGTGTTTGTGGGGTGAGACTCACTCGGAGGCGGTGAACAGATGGCTGCTGTTGGTGGAGATGCCGTTGATGGGGCTCTCGTGACCCTTCAGCTCTCCCAGGGTCCCCAGAGTGTCCGTGTGCCACAGCTTGAGCACCCCACCCCGGCAGCCGCTCAGCAGGGCCGGGGACCCGGGGACGACGCCCAGCGCACACACCCAGTCACGGTGGGCGTTCGGGACTTGCTGTTGGAAAAAAGGATTTAAGGTTTAAACATTCCCCATCGGAAATATTTTATACTAATCATAATGCGGTTAATATGTTCCTTTTTTACACATGTATTTAAATGATCTGTGTGTTCAAGTGTTTTGGTCACTTGTATTGTTTTTTGTATAAAATACAAGTAAAAATTAAAAGTCAAATTAAGTATAATCACAAACATTTAGTAAAAACATTAAAGTACCGAATAAAAAAAACAACTTACATTTTCATAGATACCAATTAATTATCTGTAAATTGGATTAATTGACGAAGCTGTTCTTGTACATATGGTTGACTAGATTAATTATGAAAAAAAAACATTACATTAACTTAAGCTGTAAAAAATGTACTAAAGAGAAAAAATACAATATTTCCACTTTAAAATGAAAATATGATTTACTTTGTGCCTTAAAAGTGATAAGTCATATTCCTCCTAATACTAATTATAATGTGGTTAATATGTCCCTTTTTTAAATGACCTGTGTGTTTTGGTAAATTGTATTAAATAGAGTCTTTTTTCTGTGGTATTAGATTTTCTTTAATGGTTGAAAAGCTTTTGAAACAGCATGTTGGCTGCTCAGTAAAATAAAATCATTTTTTTACTAAAATATGACATGGAAAAAATGATGTGTATAGGCAGATATGCTGATCAGTGATTTTGCAGTAAAAATGCTTTGTCATGTGATAGGTAAAAAAGCAGGAAATATCATGAAAAAACACAAAAAACAATACGCATGGTGCCTAAGTGTAAAGCACCTTGAATAACCCTTTTTTACAATACACAAATAAGCCCAATGCTGTGCTCCATTTAAACACCAAATCATTTTTGTGGACCCCTCACTGTGATGTCTGCTGGTCTCCTACCTGCAGCAGGTCTTTGCGGTCCAGGTCCCACTTCTTGATGCCGTTGTCTCTGGAGCCGCTGAACAGAATGTCGCCCTGCACCACCAGAGACTCGATGCCGTCGTAATGCGGAGGTTCGAAGTTGTGTGTGGGTCCGATGCTCCCCAGAGAGCCTTCAGTCACGTCAAACAGCTGACACACACACACACACACACACACACACACACACACACACACACACACACACACACACACACACACACACACACACACACACACACACACACACACACACACACACACACACACACACACACACACACACACACACACACACACACACACACACACACACACACACACACACACACACACACACACACACGTTAAAGGGTGTCTTACAGAAACAATGTGTTTTACATTTTATTGTGCGATCGTACTCTTTTTATTTTCAAAGAGGGTTTAAATGATTAGTTTTCGACTCATATTAAATATATTTGAGTCAAATGTAACAACGAAACTAACAGAGAAGAGGCATTCATAAAAAATAGTAAAAGGACATTGAAACTAGGGCTGCTCGATTATGGCAAAAATCATAATCTCGATTATTTGGGTCAATAATTGATATCACGATTATTAAAAACGATTATCCATTTACTTTGAAAACATCCATTTATTTAAAAAAAAAGTAACAGTATGTTTTTAACAGTTTATTACCCTGAACTTTAAGTTTAATTCAACTGAAAAACCAATAAAAAATAAATTTAAATACATTTTAAAATAAAATAAATAATCGTTTTATTTCGATTATGTTGTTTTCATAATCGTTGCAAGCCAACATCGTAATTGCGATTAAAATACGATTAATTGAGCAGCCCTAATTGAAACATTTTGGGAAAAGACCATTTTAAGAGATACTTCTGAAATGTTCAAGATGTAAAATAGGGTACAGTTATTTTAGAAATAGTCAAATAAAATACACTTGTTAAAAGTAATTATAAGTAGCGGTTTGATTAAAGATCACATTTCTATAATCTCTATAAGATATAAGAACATTTATTTTGAGAATGTGTTTTTTTTTTTTCAGCAGTCAGGTGCGTTACAATTAAAAGCATCAGTAGAGCATGTCTAATTAACCAATCAGAGGGAAGGAGCAATTTATGGTCATAACCAGATGTTTAATCTTTCCTTACAGGGCTCAGTGGAAACATGAAGAGCATGCTCTGGTTGTAAATCCAGGACACAAAGGAGAAGGAAACATGGAGACTCACCTTGATGTAGTGATCTTTGGAGCCGGTGATCGCCAGGTCCTGGTTGTTTCCGGATTGATCCACAGTCAGACACATCACCGGACCCAGATGTCCAATCAGTTTCCCCGTGGAGGCAAATCTGTCAAAAGAGAGGAAGATAATGACAAAAATTAATTAAAAAAATGTTTTGAGAGAAGGAGAAACGGTCTGTAACTATAAATGGGGCGAAGCCTGCGAGCTAGTTCAGGCAGTCAACTCGAGCACCAATGATACATTAACACGTGACGCGCCTCGTCCCTCTGACAACCAACCAAACACATTCTCCTAAACATGCCGCTCTATTGAAGCTGCCAGGTCTTCCTGCCTCTGCCTCGCCACTGCTGTGTTCACTTGCTATTACATGTTCCTGCTGCTGTGTTTCATGTTGCTGCTGCTCGCCTGCCCCACCACCACCCCAGCTTCCGCCCCAGCTTCCGCCCCAGCTTCCGCCCCAGCTTCCGCCCCAGCTCCACCCCAGCTTCCGCCCCAGCTTCCACCCCAGCTCCACCCCAGCTTCCACCCCAGCTTCCACCCCAGCTTCCACCTCAGCTTCCGCCCCAGCTTCCACCCCAGCTTCCGCCTCAGCTTCCGCCCCAGCTTCCGCCCCAGCTTCCGCCCCAGCTTCCGCCCCAGCTTCCACCCCAGCTTCCACCCCAGCTTCCACCCCAGCTCCACCCCAGCTTCCACCCCAGCTTCCACCCCAGCTTCCACCTCAGCTTCCACCCCAGCTTCCACCCCAGCTCCACCCCAGCTCCACCTCAGCTTCCACCCCAGCTTCCACCCCAGCTCCACCCCAGCTCCACCCCAGCTTCCACCCCAGCTCCACCCCAGCTTCCACCCCACCACCCCAGCTCCACCCCAGCTCCACCCCAGCTTCCACCCCAGCTCCACCCCAGCTTCCACCCCAGCTCCACCCCAGCTTCCACCTCAGCTTCCACCCCAGCTTCCACCTCAGCTTCCACCCCAGCTTCCACCCCAGCTTCCACCTCAGCTTCCACCCCAGCTTCCACCCCAGCTTCCACCTCAGCTTCCACTCCAGCTTCACCCCAGCTTCCTGTATAAGGTCCCTAATTGTAAAACAACCATTTTTCTAGTTTTTGGTACCGACAATTTTTAACGATTAAATAGGTTAAAAAAATGACATGTAGGTAGCAAGGTTTATAAATTGAGTGTGATGTATTCAATCTCAGTATAAATACATTTAAAACTGTTTACTAACTGGCTGTAAAAGATGGACAACTGCTTTTGATTTGAAGCAAATGTACCTTCATTTGTATCCTTAAGTTTGATTACGATTATTGTTAAGACACTTTGGATAAAAGCTAAATGAAATGAATGTATTGTTAAGTGCCTAAAATAGCATTTCAAGAGCGTCTCAAAACACCAAAACACACAATGAATGATCAAAACCCAGAATGGTGATTATGCAGCGTCGCTGTCTGGAGGTTTTTTCAGTCAGTAATTCATTCTCTGTTTACCTCCTCAGGTCCCACACTCTGACGGAGTTCCCGGCGGCGGCGTACAGCACCGTGCCGTTTGGGTTCAGAGCGATCTGGTTGATCTGGTTCTCTCCCGCTGGGATGGTGACGGTCCGGCTGGTGTTGGACGCAGAGACGTCCCCGACAGTAACCTGACCGGAGGACCTGCAGACAGACGGAGGAATATGCAGTCATTCACACACTCCCCCGCACATTATGCATGTAGGGAGGAAAGGCTTCCAAGGTGTAAAACACAACATGTTGTCGTGAGATAGGATGTATTTTTAGGACGTGTGATCTTGTCATAAAAGTGTTGCTAAAAAATAATTTGTTATTTGTTAAGTCTGCATACTTTTAAATAAAAAATCCTATCACATCTAATATCTACATAACTTTGGAAAAAAAACACAAAAAGTAAGGACATTTCTGTTTGGTAGGTTATTTATTTGTTGTAACGATGCTTCTTGGCAATATATCTTATACCGTTGGAAAGCCTGTTTTCTTACCTTTCTAATGGTACCACATTTGTGACGAATAAGCATTTGTGGGATGAGCAGCAGAGCTGAGTATGTGGATTGCGCAGCCCATGAAAAATGTGACAAATCTCCTTATATTTTGTCTCGTTTTGGCAAAATGACTACACTTATATGTGTGTTAGGAATTGTATGAATAAAAACCAAGCAATAACGAATATAAATCACTACAGAGGTGCTGGAGAATACACACACTGCAGCCTAAAATCTGAGACGTCGTACTCACGTTAGTGTTCGGATGCACTTGGCCGAGTCCCGGATGTCCCACACTTTGATGTAGGAGGTGGAGACGGTGAAGACCAGACTGGAGCTGTAGCGCACCGACACCACGTTGTTCTGGTGGCCGGACAGGGACATTATCTCCTGACCCGTCACCAGATTCCACACCTTACAGGTCCGGTCTGCAAGACAATCATCTGATACTGAGACCGATACTGAGACTTTATGACTCCGCCTATCATAACAACCTAATAAGGCTGTCCAACAACATCATCTCGGACCCAAACCATGTTCTGAACAGCGACTATGAACTGCTACTATCTGATGGGAGATACAGGGTCCCACGATTCAATAAAGTCAGACTGAAGCATCCTTTGTGCACCAGTCAGCCCTCACAGTAAATACAGAGCTCAACCCCAGATCAAATGCACGCTCAAGGATGTTACACATGGAGCTGCTGTGATGCAAGTCACATTTCAGACTTGATCTGACCATCATTATCGTATCTGAACATGTTGCACATTTAAAAAGCAGGGAAGACGCTGAGAGGAGGATTAAAAAACTGGAGCAACAGATTGAGGCCAGAATAAAGACTGAGAGGAAATATATATTGTAGGGATAAAAGTAGTTAAAGGTGGGGTAGGTCATTTTGGAGAAAGCAGCTTGAGTGCGCTAGAATTTGAAAACACACAACCGGAACAAATCTGCCACTTCCTCACAGAGCCCCTCCTCCAACACACACGAACGCGCACATGACCAATGAGGGCACGAGATAAGTTTGTGCACAGATGGAAAGCTGACAGGCAGGTAGGCCATCCAGTTACTTTAGCCGGGCCGGATCAAATGATTGGTCGTGCTTTTTACAGCGCCACGGCTTCCACAGATGATTTTTTAATGTATTTTTTGTCAAAGCACTTCAGATATTCATTGCTATCGGATGTTAAGAGCATTCCATGGAATATAACAACAAGTGTATCTCGAGCCGCTTTCTCAAACTTACCTACCCCACCTTTAAACCACAGTGTAAAAATAATCTGTTGCAACTCAAATTCCTGCAGGTTATGTCAAATTAAGAATAATCTGAAAGATGTAGTAAAAATATTGAAAGATAATTTCATGGATACCAATTAATTATCTGTAAATGTGATTAATTGACTACGTTGTTCTTGTAAAAATGGTTGACTATAGATTCATTGATTAAAAAACATTATATTTTATAAGCTTGTGTTCAGCTGTAAGAAAAATGAAGTGAAGAGAAAACAACAACATTTCCCCCTTCAATTGAAAATATGATTTACTTGAGTGTGTTTGTGCTAAATGTGATAAGTTATATTCTACCTCTTGGTAAAAGACATAAAAGGCTCTGTGGGAATAAAAAAGAACTTCAATCTTGATAAATGCCAATACATTTCCCCTCATTTATCATCATGAAAAGCCCCCTGTGAGTTTTACTGTATGTACAAGATCATTCATATGCCCTCTCCTCATTTATCCACACGCCGTGCACATGACAATCTTAATTAATCCCTGTCAGGTTTTATTTACCGTCACATAAAATCGTAACAGTGTGTCAAGGAGCAATACATTAGCCGTAACAAGCAGAGAGGATTGTGGGTATCGACCTTTGGATCCGGTGAAGAGAAGGTCGTCGGTGCAGTCGACACAGAGGACGGCTTTACTGTGTCCCTCCGCCACGTGGACGCACTGCAACGTCGCCGAGCGGCTGCTTTTAGTGGCAGGCACCGGGTTAATGACGCCCCTAAAAACACACATACACACATATCACAATAAGAAGGTGCAGCCATGTCTAATAATGTGAGTGCACTCGGGTATAAATCACACCGTGCAGCATGCAGCTCTCGTGGCTGATAAGCTGCAAATCAGAAATAGAAAATAGATGATGGTACAAAGAAAGATGAGGAGAGTCATCTTTACAGTGCGGAGGGAAGGAAGAGCAAAGAGTCATCAGTGGAGGAAGAAGCACTCAGATGTCATACTTAAGCAAAAGAAGCAATACCAGATAGTACAAATACTAAATCTTACTGAAAGAGACCCTTTTATGCCCTTTAGGGGTTTCCTTTCCTTTCCTGTGTTATATTCAGGGTTCATGCTTTCACCAATGATTTTCAATGACTTTTCCATGACCTCTCCAGGACCGTTACCTAATTTTCCATGACCAAAAACATGACTGTCAGCGGTACCACTGAAAATTGTTTATTTTAACATGGAACAGGAAAATAAGGTCCTCATATGAAACATGTTGTGCCTGTCTAAAACAAATCAAAGGCTTACTAGCTTCTACACGCTGAAGCAACTCAAATCTCTCACCAGCAAAACACCTCGTCAGTTAAATGCCATTTTACGTTTCATTACGATACAGTATTTATTATCGTTATAGTATTACTATTTCGGCAATTAGATAAAATATAAATTATATTTGATGCAACTTTAGTTACATTTCCATGACTTTTCCAAAACTTTGGGGAAAATATTGTTTTCCAGAACCTTTCCAGGGCCTGGAATTAGCATTTTGAATTTCCATGACTTTTCCAGGTTTTTAATGACCGTAAGAACCCTGTATATAGGTTTTAGTGCATGTAAATGGTCTGCAAAGGCTACTACTTCAATACCTTCCACCACTACCCATTATAAAATACCACAAGAGACACACCTGATGAGTGGAAACCAGCGGTGTGGGATCAACAGGGACCTAAAGTTCAATACTATCAATGAAACTCAGATCGATCACTAATTGGCTGCATTTGTTGACAAATCGGCGTCTGATAGTATAATTGTACAATCTCTCCTCTCCATCAGTCTGAGTGTTGATGAGCGGAGCAGCAGGACGATGAGCTGAGAGATAAAGACGTTGATATTCAGGAGTTTTCAAATAAATGAGCTGAAAAAGGCCTGCTGTGTTTTCAGTGAAGTAAAGAAAGGCTGCAACTCTGACTACTTTTAAATCCAGACTAAAGACTTTTCTTTTTGCCGCTGCTTTTAATTGAACTATTCACATCTTAAACTGCACTGTAACTTTTATCCATGTATTTTTTCTTTTAATGTTTATTTTATTAGCTTTTCTTTTTAATGACTGTTTTGAAATGCCATTTTCTTAATGTCTTTCATTTTTTGTAAAGCACCTTGAATTGCCTTGTGTTGAAAGGTACTATATAAATAAACTTGCCTAATGAAAAGAGATGATCGGAGGCTCAGGCTCAATAGCAGTAATAAGCTTTAGAAGATGGCGCTGTTTGGGTTTATTGTAATTACCTATTGATCCCAGAGAGTCAGATATTCTTTGTTTTGAACCGTGCTAAATGTTCATGTCGAGTTAATCTAGTGTTCTGTGAAAAGACACCGAAGAAGAGTTGGAACAAACACAGAGAGAATCCTGTCTGATGAAATGTCTTTTCTCCCACCCAACAGTGGAGCTCAAAGGATGGAAATGTGTGGAGGTCATGAAGAGAAAAAGGGAAGAATCCACACCATGTGCTTATGTAGTTCCCTTTCCACCAAAGCAGACCTTTTGCTGACTTGTTTGGCATATTAAAAAAAGACAAAATGTTATACTTGGGTGGATCTGAGAGAAGAAGGGAAGCACAACGCAGGATGTGGTTGCACGAGTGCTGGAGGCATCCATGTGTCCTGCAGGGGAACAGAGTATCCAATATTCCTTAGATCTGATCAACTATTGGCTTAAACACTTCCAATTATAATCAAGTTACTTCATTTTCCTTCATTATTTTGTAGTCGGTACAACTACACTTCAAGAAGAGGTCATTCTAGTTATTAGAAAATCCTTAAAAACAAAATAGTTTGTTTGTAGCCTTTATTTACAGTAATGTAACTTTCGTGATATAAGATTAATGAGCAAACGGGTGCTTAAGCATGACTTAGCTTTCAATATCCTCTAGCTTAGATGCATCCATTGCTTTCACGTCGTTACAGTACAGTTTGGAAATCATTGAAAGGTGAAACTGAGGTAAAAATATGTTCGGACATTTTCCTCAGTCAAAACATTTGGTTACTGTCACATGGGCTGCTCAAAATAAGTTCCTATTTGCGATCTGGGGCACTATTTTTTACCGTGTGCTGTTTTATTTATATACTTGTTCATCCGATTTAACAAAGTTCAGAACTGTAAAGTGCCCTAAGAAATTCAAAAAGTGTGATATAAAGAGTCTATGGCACATACATACGTTTGAACTAGTCGTGCATATTTTAAATCTGAAATGATATTTTACTACAAAGGGTTAACAATGCAAAACAACATAACTGGTAAATATGGTTAGGACCTTAATGTGACTTCTTTCCATGCATTTTAGAAAACTATTGGACAGTGAAAAGGTGACATTTGAGCAGAAACAGATATTAAAATGTGCAGTCATACAAACAAGCCAAAGTGCAGTAAGTGCTCTCTGGTTGGGTAAATATTGACCCCTTCTGGCATCGGACTTAAATACTTGAATGCACCAATAAAGAAGACAATCTCTGCTTACAATTGCATTACAAAGCAATAACTGAGGAGATAACAAGGAAACAAGATGTTTACTTTGACTGATTAACTGTCAGCAGAAACGTGTTTAAACCAATCAGCGAATTCAATACAACTTGTATGCATGCCCCATGGGAAAGCACACTAATTCAAATAAATACAAATCTGGCAAGACCCCACCTTCCCTCTGCTTACCTGGAGGCATTTCCAACAAAAAGCCAAACAACAAATCCAGTAAAAGCCAATCTTAATAGACTGGATACTTGGAAGGTGGAAAACAACTCATCAATCCTATGGTATGCTTTTCAAAGTGATCAATAGTAATTCAATGGGTTATTGTGACGGAGCGGATCACATGAGTGACTCACTCCGCCACTGACAGCCGACACACACACACACACACACACACACACACACACACACACACAACACACCAAACATTTCAGAGAAAAGACGGAGCTGCATCACTTCCGTGTTTTAAATTCCTAAAAATGAACCATGCAATTTCTTATTTATTTTTACTTTTGTTAATTATGGGGAATGACGGTTAAGAGGTAGTTAACCTGTGTATGTTTGGTGCAGATAGTTTCCTCATGTTGGAGGAAATTACATTTATGTTGACAATGTGGTTTGGAGTCGATTGTGTCACCTGTTGACGGTGAGCCTGTGGGAGGGGCCATGGGTTCAAAAGGGACGGTGTTGGTTCCTTGTGGGGGCGGACTGTGTCACTTGAAGAATGTTGCAGTGAAGGCAACAGCTGGGATGTGTTCGGGGGTTTGTTGCAGAAAAGGCAACAGCCAGAACACGTTTACTCTGAATGAGTGATGGACGGCCTGTTTTTGTCTTTTATTTTTGTTGTTTACATTGTGCTGGTTCCGTTTTTGTTTTGTTGCTGTAAATAAAGTTGTGGAGCTTAACCCAACCGACTAGGCCAGTGTTTTTTGAACGGACAAATAGAGCCCCGTCACAGTTATACACATTGAATGGGAAACACCAATACTAAGGAGTATCACTAGTAACATCTCCAATGGTTTAACACACAATGTGTCCTTAAAATACCATAATAACATATTAAAGGCTTGCAAAGAACATTGTATCCGACCCCAATAATGTCCTGAATTCCTGTAGTGTGTTTTATAGGTTTGTGTGCAACGGCTAACATCCCTGTTTCTCTCCCACACTCTCGTGACATCATTACTACTTCGATTGGCTAGCGCTCCAACAAATTGTACGTGATAGGCTAAGGGGCGGGACATCTCTAAGCGGTTGACCAATCACAACAGAGTCGGCCAGCTAACCAATCAAAGCAGACTGGGCTCTGGTTTCAGACAGAGAGTGTTTCTCAATCTCGAGTACGCTTGCTTGGTAGCACATGTCTTCCGAGTCACTTGCTTCAGAAGCGAGGCAAGAATAATTCCTGGCATTCGGAAAACAAGGAGTGGAACAGGCGAGCAAGTGTGCGTCATATGAGAGGCCCCGCCAATTTGGGGAAATTGGTCCGTGCGCAAAGCATTGTGGGGATTTTAAGACTGCGGAGTCTACACATGTGCAGCCTCGACATTTCTCGCTACGAAGTACGCTGGGCTCGGTAGAATTCCAAGTTTGCTGGACATTGGAACAGTCCTTCGGCGGGACTCGATGACGTAGTATCCTTGAACTAGTGGCTCTGGAGCAGCCTTACTCGACATTGAGAATATGAGAAAAGCGGTGCTGCAGCAGTATGAGAAAAATAAAGAGCTTTTTGAACATGAAAGCATGGAGACAAAATACAAATATGAACCTGAAAATAGGCGTCATCTGTCGTCTTTAATCTAACCCTGCTCCATTACACTCCAAAATCCACATATGTACGTCAGGTCTACATGAAGAGATATCTAAGGAAGCAATTTGGCAGTGACAGAGTTTGAAATGCTCCCGCTCATCCTCAGCTATAATCTGTTTCTATGGCAGGCTCTCGTCATTTTTACTTCTCTCTGCTTTATCCTGCAGCAGGTTTGCAAGCGCCCCATATTCCCTGTCATGCGACTAAACGTGGTTACTGGTAGGAGCGTTAAGGCAGGGAGAGGAAGTGGTGGGCTGCTCTTCAGGGTCCTGATGACGGGGCTGTGGAGGAAGACAGCGGGGGTGCCAATTAAGCTGCAGCATAATTAAAGTGTGTGCTGAGCTGTTTACACACTGCTGGCAGCAGAGTGGGAGGACTGCATGGAGACAGAAGGGAGACGCATATGCTGCGTCCACGTCATACGAGAGAAAGCTGCCAGAACACACGTTCATCTGAAGCTATAAAGAGGTCATTACCGGGGTTTCCTGTTCAATGTGCGTTATTATTATTATTATTATTTCAAGACCGTATCGTTCTGTCAACTCGTGTCTAGTCTAACGTTTCTGCTTCACCAGAGATGTGCAAAACAACTCGATTATTGGATTTAATCTTAGATCTGTAAAATGAAGTTTCTCCAAAAAGAAATCATGGAAAAGCACCAAATTCTCAAATGAATTAAGCATTAAAAAAAACTAGGTCTACTCAGAAGCGCTATTCCTTTGTACAATTTACAACATTTGGTTTAAATTGCCTTACATTTTTTATTTAAAACCTAATATATTGAGGGATTCACCAATAGTAAAATGTATTTTGTTTTTGCTATGTTTGTAAAATATAAACTTCTTAAATGTTGTATGTGAGGGACTGCGGATGGAAATGAGCTCAAAGCTAAATCTGGCACTGTTCCGCTTGACAGTTGAATGTTTTAAATGTTCATTACTGTGCATTGTCCCTGCCAAATAAACGAATCCAAAAAAAGAGTCAACAGTATTGGGGTATTCGAACAAAATAATAATGATCATATTGGATCAATGCTATCAAAACAGACCATTTGCTCCCATTTCTACTGATAAGACACAGAAAGGAAAATAACTGTTATTTTCATCAATAAATAGAAATGCGTCATCAGCAGCAGCGGAGGGCGTGATTCGCAAATTGAACACTGAATTTGAGTCACAAATACTGGACAGAAAGGCAGGAAGGAAGACTTTAAATTCAGCAGAGAACTTGGCAGGTCAGAGGTCAACACACAAGGCATCTTTCATTTGCTTGAGACCACATGCTTCCTCAAAAGCAGGAAAAACCCAGAGAGTATTAGTAGAGTTGAAGTGAGGTTATTTTGCTTTTTCCTTCTCCGGCTCTTACTGTTTAATCTCCTTGACCTTTGCCCTTTCGGCCGCAGCGTGAGCCTTGTCATATGTCTTCCTGCGAGAGAGCGGCGACGGCTCCGGCGCTCGCCTCTCCACTGACGAAGATCTGGAGCCATTACTGCTCGTTTCATAAAGTTACCCACAGACAACACAAAGACAGTACACAAAGAAATAATGATAAAACAACAGGATGATGAGAAACAAAGTCAACATAATGATGAAGGGATGCGGAACACACAGAAACACACGTTACCTGAAGTCCCAAAACTCTGGTGGTTCTTCGCCAAGCTCATGTTTAATTGTGCTACGCTGTGATATTTTAATTAGCTGATCCCTGTTAGCCAAGGCTTCTTTTTTTCATACAAGTCAATGTGCACTTAGTGTGAAGCAAGTAAAAGCAGTCTGGTTAGTTGTTTTGCTTTGAATTTAAAAAGGCAGATTTAGCAGGGGACAGTACGTTGAAGGTATGGCCATCTGATGTAAGGATGCTCATGAATAATGTGAAACAAAAATGAGCTAAAGCAGAGCAGCAACATCAAACATGCATGAAGGAGGGAGGGAGGGAGAAAGGAGGGAGGAAGGGAGGGAGGAAGTGGTGATTATTGTGTTAGAGACAGAGTGCCGGGCCTGGACTTACATGCTGCCCATTTTAGAGGAAAAGCCTGGGGAGAGAGCGCTGTAGTCCCTGACTGATGAGCCGGACGTCTCCATGTCCCCCCCCCCATCTGGAGTTTCTGCTAACGGCAGCATCGGGGCGGAAAAGTCTGAGGGGGAGGCGTCGGGGGCGGAGTCACTGTTAGCGTACAGCAGCTCCATCTGGGTGGTGGTCCTCCTGCGAGCCTGAGGAGCCCAGAGGAGAGGACATGAAGACAGGAAGTAGGGAGAGCTGATGCGTGCAGAAGGTCAGGATGAAAGTTTTACCTTGCCGCGTGTTTTAGTCTCTCCACAGAGTTTCATGAGGTCCGATGACATGGTGCTGCAAGGAGAATAGGAGGGTTTTTCATGAGGATGAATAAACGTATGGCGTTTTGTAAAACACACAAAGCACATATAACATTGTTTTATATAATATCCGATTAAATCATCCCATATTGGGATTTGTTTTCATTAAAGCAAGGCATTACACAAGTTGACGGACAAAAATAGTACATTTACAAATGAATGGTACCGTAGAAGATATACACCCACTGATATATTACAGTACACTAATATACTCTAACATAGAAATGAACAACTAATCACTTAAAATAAGCAAAACATAATACATTTTTTAAATAATGCGACATCAAATAAGTAGGGCCGGGACTCGATTAAAAAAATTAATCTAATTAATTAGAGGCTTTGTAATTAATTAATCGAAATTAATCGCATTTTTGATCGCATATAAATATTTGACCTAAGAACAGTGAGAAGCAATTTTTTTCACATGGATTTTAGTATACCATTAGGCGCATTCACACCGCAGTACTTTTCCCACAAAGGTTCATGAGAACTTAGTTCATGAGAACTCTTTGAACCTGGGGGTGGATTAGGCAAATGAAGCCGCTGACGTCACTTCTTCTTCTTCTGCTTTGGGTTTACTGGCAGGCCGCAAACCACTTCACGGCGTATACTGCCGCCCAAAGTCCCCGGCCGGAAGTCCCCGGAGTTAGGGACTGGCTTCAGTAGAAGCTGCTGGGAGTCCCAGCAGCCTTCCGAGTAAATCGCCAGAACGCCGACACCTCCTCATCTCCCATGTTTTATTTTGTGTTGCCATAAGTTAGTCTCTCTGCGTTTCTGCGCTGGGCTAATGCTAATAATGCTAATGCGAGGATAATCAAATGGCGGCTTCACAGAACTTTTTGGGAGTTTTACGGGGCGTGGTTTGCAATCCGCCCAGCCAATCAGAAATATAGCTCTTTTCTCACAAGAGAGCCGTACGAAAGTCCCTGCTGTCTAGCAGCTCTCTGCTCTCTAGCAGGGACTTTCGTGGGGGTAAAAAGGTTCTCATGAACTAATTTTAGTACCGGCTCTTTTTGGTGTGAACGCGATAAAAGAGGCTAACGTCCACGCTAGCTTCCACGCTAGCTGCTATATGTTTTGCATTGAGGTGATACTTGAGGCTTGATGTGCTGCGGTGATATGCGAATTCCTTTTTGCATAATTTGCACACAACCGTGCTCTTATCGACGCTTCCATCCGTCCGTTTTTTAAAACAACATTTCCCACTGTTGTTCACTGTGGTTTGTTGTTGTCTGAAGTCATGAACGTTAGTTGGTGCTCCAGTATAATCGGTACGCCTGAAACTCATCCAGTGAGAAACGTTCCGCGGTGCAAAAATAAGTGCGATTAAAATGCGTTAATTTTTTTAACGCGTTAATTTTTGTGTCATTAATTAATCTTAATTAACGCGTTAAAGTCCCGGCCCTACAAATAAGATTTATAAAATTAGGGGAAACAAAATTAAACATAAATATATTTAAAAAAATGATGTAACATAACATCAAAAAAGGTAAAACATTACGATTAAAGATTTACACAATAAAATAACATTTACATGAAAACAACATAAATATATAAAAATCCCACATAACATGAGATTAACATAAACACAAAACGAGACATAATTGCATATACCGTATATATACACATATCAGCATAAAATAATGGTGCTAAGTATTATATAAAAATATTGTATGACACATAAATAAATGAACTCACTTTCCGTCAGCAGACGGGCTCTGTGCCGACTCATCGCTGCTGCTATCGTCCCCGTTTTCTGTCAAAAACAGGTTCATAAATCATATTAAAGTTGAGAGGAAACGCTCTTTGCTGATGAAATGACTTTCTAAAACTGTTCTTAGCTAAAACACTTTGCCCAAATTATTATTGCTAACTTTCACTTAAGGGAGAGGTTCTTTTTTCTTTAAAGATAGCTGCTTTTAATGGATGTAGAAAAGGTGATCAAGGGAAGCTGATGAGGACGATGTCAGCGGGGCGCCATGCTATTTAATCGAGACTCGGCCCTCACTGAGCTCAATGGGGTCAGATGGGTGGAAAAGGTCAAAGGTCAGAGGTCAGCAAGGCATGGGAGGTTATACAGAGACAGGTATATATGAGACAACAGGGTGGAGGAGTGAGAGAGTCGTTAGTCCGACGCTCCTGATGGGGGTCAGCTGACCTACAGGGTGTGACGGAGCTAACACATCCATGTTGAAGGCTTCCTGTGGGGGGGTCCTGGGTTAGCAGGGGGCTAAAGCATGGAGGCTCTGGATGAGGAAGAGGAGGAAGCCCAATTCCAAAACGGCCCTTGCACCCTCCCCCTTAAAAACGTTCTTGTAGCGGGTCCCCTACAATGAGTGCTGTTCCAAACCAATCGACAATCACTCATTTATTTTGAAAGCCTAATATCACACTTTATACATTTGTCTCAGGGGGCTGTACAGTGTGTAAACACCACCCTCTGCCCTTAGACTCTTTCATAAGGATAAATGGGCAAAATATGGAGGGATCCCTCTCCCAGGACGGGGGACGAAAAACATCTATATTTGACAACATAAGGTGTGTGTTGTTTATTTAAACAGGTAAAAACTCAACAGGGAAGCCGTTGGAAACAGTTAGGCCCCGTCCACACGGAGACGATTTCAGCTGTATCCGCTAAAGTTCTTTATCATATAGACGGTTCGTCCACACGAGGCCGAAACGGAGCCGCAGCTTCGGAGCCCGAAACCGATACACTTTGAAAACGGTGGGTAAGTCTGGAGACGAAGCGCTTGCGGCTCCGTGTGTACGCCCTATACCAGGCATCCTCAAACTACGGACTCCGGTCCGGATCCGGACCGAACCACCACTGTCTCCGGACTCTGAGCAAATTATACTTTTCATATGTATGATCTCTCTGTATTATATGTGAGACATCGCCACAACGCATTCGCAACGAGTCAAAATTCTCCGCTATGTCCACTGCAAACAGCGCTCTGCATGTCTGACTGTTCCACTGTGTTCCACCTGTGTGTGTCAACGCTTTGGTCCAATCACATTCAGCATCCAGTCAGCATTTTCCCCCCCAAACAATCTGCGAATCAGAGGCACAGTAGGGCGGGTCTTCGCGGACTGCGGGTGGGAAAAATGTGTGTGTCTCTTTCAACCTGTCTAAGTCAGAGCGAGAATAAAAAAATTCAGAGCGAGAGTTAACAGCTCATCTAGTTCCATCTGTACTGTAGCTAGTAGCCTAGTTTCACCTACCGGGGTGGCAACTGACACCCTAAAAATAGGCCTTACCACCCCAGCTGCCACCCCAGTTGGCAGCTTTGTTTTGAAAGAAAAGTTGTGGCTCATCGGACATTTATGAGAGAAAGTCTCTAATGTCCGAGTGCAAGTGAATGCAGCACAAGATGCACGTCATGCACGTCCCCCGGTCCTGGCGCGAGCGTGGACATACGATTGGCGGCGATTTCATTTTGAACTGGACGGCGCAAAACGAGAAGCATTCGGACCCAAGCGCTGAAGGAATGAGGTATTTGCGGTCTACACTGACAGAGAAGAGACTGTCAGTTTGGCTGCACTCAGCATTGAATCAAAACGCACTGAAGCTGTTGATCTTAATACGTTTGTGAGGCGTTTTGCTGAACAAGATGGTAATCGCCGCATTCAGCTGTAATAGCATGTCAACTTGATGCTCTGCTCATGGATGAGCATAACAAACTGTTAAGATGATGACCTTACGTGTGTAAATATATGTTTTTCTTTGAGGGGGTCTGCCCCCAAAAAACTGTTTTAAGTCCTGAGAAAGTCAAATAAGACGGTGTGTAAAACTACACTGCCCAGCCAAAAAAAAGTAACCACTTTGATTGAACTAGGCCAGTAGGTAAGGGCTTTCCACTGGATAATAACTGCAGTATAAAAGAATGCATGACTGAAGTGATGGAGACCATGTTGAAGGCAAACACAAAGAGGAAATAACAGGTAAAATCAAGCAAATCCCCCTCTCAGATTCCACAGTAACCAGAAGAACATAAATACTGGCTGGTGATTTGATTCATCAGCTTTGTGATGGAATACAAAATGCACAGTGCATTTCCTTAGCTGTGGGTGAGTCCACTGACACCACTGACAATGCTCAGTTGCTGGTGTTTGTGAGTTTTTATGATGAGGCAAAGGGGGAGTTTGTTGAAGATGTGTTGGGCCTGACGAACCTCAGTGGACACACAAGGGGGAATACATTTATAAAGCAATAATGGGAATGCTGAATGAAAGAGGGTGCAGCTGCCTTTATTCATAACTGTGCAGCTCTCACACTGCGACTCTGAGGGGTCAAGCACAGACACAATAACAATGAAAACTGCTGCATACAGATTATTATTATTATGTTTTTGCAACCTCGTGTTAATGACCGTAATAAACGGACCTTTTTCTTATTGAAACATTTATTTTGGACCTTTAAGATTTGTATTTGAGTACCCCTGCCCTATACGATCATTTCCTGAATCGATGACGCCATAGCCCCGCCTCTCCCCACCTCTCCTGCCCACCCCCGCGTCATTGCTGATGCGTTTCGCCAACAACAACAACAACAACAACAATGGCAGGTTAACAGGGTTGCGTTCGTGCTACAGACGCTACTGCCCATGATACAGATGTTAGTGCAAAATGTACAGCTCCTCTACCACAACCATCAGCAACAATAATAATATAATATAATAATCCTCATCGGTCTTATTCACTGCTTTTGGTGTATTTTGTGGCGGAAGTACAGCGCCACTTACAGGCCCGGCATATGTACTACAGCGTCTCCAGCGGTTTCGAGCGGTTTCGTGTGGACGGAAGACTTTTTGGATATCGACTTCGGTTCGAAATCGGTTTTGTTTCCATTTCGTCCTGCTGGTGTTTACCCAGAGACAATAGTGAATTATGTCCTTAGAGACACACTAACAAAACAAAAAATGCCACTAAGGTTTTTTTTTTGTTCATTAAAGTTACTTCTATTATTTTTCGTCAAAGAGAGGATGATTCAGCTACGGTTATGGAAATGTTAAAAGGCAACTTGGGGTTAGGTATCTTGCACAGGGATACATCGACATCTTGACTGCAGGGGTTGGGATTGAACCCACACAGAACCGCCGATTAAAGGACGACAGTTCCCGTTTTTGCTGGAAAAAGGAGAGTTCCTGCAGAAGCTTGTTGGTGTATTATTTGCACTCAACACCATAAAGAAGCAGCCTCATTTAGCTGAGAGTCTTGACTACAGATGGAGACCACTAAGTGGGATGAAGAGGGAGTGTGTAGGGGTCAGTTTGGAGTTGGGCCGCAGTGTATCCAGAGGGGAAGGGGAAGGGGAAGGGGAAGGTCAGCGGACAGATGGAGGGAAGCCTTGGTTGCATTGCACCTCATGCACCTGTTCCATGTTACGTTCAGTTAGTTTTGTGCAAAGGGAAAAGGAACCATGCATTCATAAACACAGAGGAATCTAATGTGGGTCACTTACCAGCCGGGATGTTACCTAGCTCTGTGAAAACATAAGGAAACAACACAAAAAGAAAAAAGGAAAACGTGGGGGAACAGAAACAAAGGCGATGCACAAATCAAAAACACTGTCCCCCATAATTCTCTAAAAACAAAACAAAATAAAGTGCAGCTACTGTAAACAAAGCATCCAACTGAACAGAAGCTGGGAAACATCTTCTTTTTGTCGTAAGAGTTTCAATCACATGTACCCAAATGATAACACTTTTAAGATCTGTTTTATAACAATGTGATTTTTTTACAGAGGGATTATTAGCCAGTTGTATAATACATAGGCCAGCTTCTATTCAGCAGAAGGCAACAGGCAGAGCATGTCAAGACCCATCATGCATCTGACCAGTAACCCAGTCCACTTCCTGGAAGCCCAAAATCTTTATAACAATGCAACAGATGCACGTTTAGTGGCAGATTTACATGGAAAAGGAAAACCATAATAATCTATAAATAACATCTGATACATCTGATACTTCCAGGAGGTGGGCGGGGTTAAACCAGAGTCTGGTCCGTGTTTTGGGTCCACGTTTTCACTCCAATCTGAACCCTAACACATGCAGCGGTTACCTTGCAGGGCGTTCCCCAGCAGGGCGTCCAGCTCCGGGTTGAACTCGGCCTTCTCCTTCAGCATGTGGAAGAGCAGCTGGTTCTGGGTGGCGCTGGTGATCTCCGTCTGCTTCAGCCGGCCCTCCATCACCTTCACCTGGGACTCCCTCTGAGACGCCTGCAGGCCCTGAGGAGGTCAGGCACAAACACATGGTGCAATGTTTGCTGTTTGTATAACAGTTAACACTTTCATCTCTGCGATTTTGAATAAATGGAAATGGACAAGTGCATGAACACGCTAAGGCACACAGTCAAAGTAAGCCTGTGTGTCCTAGTTTACGTTGTTAAACAGTGCCTGGGAAACAGTGTGGGGCTTTGGTTTGTCCTCGAGTGTGAGGTTTTGTCATGTTTATGTTAAAATGACATCATGATGGTAATATGGAATATTTTTCAGCAGTTACTGACAGAATGTAAAATTGCCAGGTTTGGGCAAAACAAAACAAAATCAGGCTATGAGAGGTGTTGATATGCATCTACATTTCTTTGTATTCAAGTTTGTTTTGAAGCAGCCGTAAGGACACATGATGATACACGGCAGGGTTTCCGTTAGCCGATATTTACCGGTTTTTAGCTGTTAAAATGTAATAAAAACCGGTAAATTCAAAACTTGCCGGTCAAAATGTCCGCTAATAATTAGGGATGCTCCGATCGATCAGCCGGCGATCATTATCGGCCGATATTCACTCTTAATAGTTTGATCGGTGCTCTCTATAAAGGCCGATCAGCAGAGCTGGATCTGATCGATATGGACATAAACGCGAGTGAAGTATAACCGGACACGAGAGAGAGATCAGACCAGCTGCTGCATAATCACCTGAAGCCCCGCCCACTGTTTAGCGCGTTGCATGAGAAACTGACGGGCTGTCATGAGAGAGGGAGAGAGGGAGAAGGGAAAAGAGAGGATCCGTTTCTCCCGTGTTATTATTCAAAGTTAATGTAAACTTTTGAATAATGTACTTCATCTACTACAAGTAGTTTGTTTGAATGTAATAATGATGTTTGTGGAATCATTTACTGAAAAATGAATCTGAATTTTTCGATGTTACGATTATAAACTGAAGCAATATAAAAATGACTCCCATTAACTGAGTTTTAAACATCAGCATATCCGGTCATAGTCCGGTAATTACCTGCTAACAGAAACTCTGCTACACAATTCTTATTCTTATTATTGAAACATGACCGGTAAGTTTAAAATTTGTCCGGTAAAATAAATTCTGTCCGGACATTTGACCGGCGAGAAAAGATCCTAGCGGAAACGCTGATACACGGATGTTATTATTCCTCATTAAACTCTTATTAATACTTGCTGGTACCTTGCTGATTGCCATCGTCATGAAGTGATCCAACAGAAACCGAGTTTCATTCAGAGTACAGGAGCCGATCACTGCGGAGATATCCACTGTGTCGCCCTCCTCCTGAAAACAGTCACTCAATTAGGAAACAGCATTAATTAATAAAAAAACAACAAAAAAAGACTTTCGTTTGTTTAAAAGAAGAATAACTTAAAGTTTGGCTCGTTATAAACTCTACTCAAACTAAGCTGTTCAAGGGTTTAAAGGTAGTATGAAGGAAATGGCATTAATATCAAGTAAACACACTTTTAGGCGTTGGGGGCCTTTCTCACCTTGGCTTCCTCCATCTGCATGATGTTGGCCTGGCAGTCTGCGATGCTGTCGTTGATGTAGTCGATGTTGGCCGTCAGTGCGTCCACCTCCTCGTTGATGGGCAGCACCGCCTTCTCCACCTCCGGACCCTCCCTCGACAGACGCTCCCTCTTCCGGATCACCTTCTCCTTACGCTTGGTTAGCTCCTCTCGTTGCTATGAACACACAAAACGGATTTCAGTCGGAGCAGTCATTTTTAGATCAGAATTAGAATCAAGTTTATTGCCAGGTAAGTTTACACATCCAAGTTTAGTTTATTTATTTGTTTCGAGCGTGTAAAACCAAAGAAAATACAAATGAAACAAAAGATGATACAGACATGATACAGTACTATACAAATGAATGCAATAACAAAACGAAATATTTAATTAATAATTGAATAATCTGTAGTATCATTGTCTGATATCAATAAACAACAAAGCTTTAGCTAATTACACGTCCGAAAAGGGGTCGGAAGAAGTTTACACTTATTTGAAGACTTGTCGCTGCTTTTAATTGAAACTGAGCCGTTGTGTTCATCAGCAAAGTGGAACTTCTGTGTGAACTATTCATATCTTAAACTGCACTGTAACTTTTTATTCATGTACTTTTTATTCATGTATTTTTTCTTTTAATGTTTCTTTTATTATCTTTTACTGTTTTTAAATGCCTTTGTCTGAATGTCTTTCATTTTTGTAAAGCACCTTGAATTGCCTCGTGTTGAAAGGTGCTATATAAATAAACTTGCCTTGCCTATTTAATCCGACCCCTTCTCCCTTTATATATGTTAACATTAGGGCTGTCAAGTTAACGCGTTAATAACGTATACAGTAGCATATAATAGTCATAATATATATTTGTATATATCAGGTGGCTTGAATTTATTTTCCAAATAAATACAATCCGAGTCATCTAGGTCGTAGGTCGTGGGAGAGTTACGTAATTGACGCGACACACACTGCAGAGTGACAACTTTCTAGAATGGCGCAAAAAAGGATTTTGGATTTTTTCTCCAACAAACAACCCAATAAAAAGAGTGGACCACCAGCTACTCCTCAGCCCACCACCTCTACAACTAGAGTAATATGACACAGAAGAGACTGACACATCTGACTTTAATGCATGTCCATAGTAACATTTTGGAAAATGTGGATGTATCTGCTCTAATGAGGGTCTTCATTAGTGCCACCCCAGGCTACATTTGGAGTTTTGTGAAGCCCCAACACAAGGTAAGACGATATTTGTCCTTTAATGCTGCTACCGCTGTGCAGTGTTTTGCCTTGTCAATCAGTTAAAATTGAATTCATAGTTTTATTAATATTGTAAATAATATTTTCTGACTATTTGTAATGTTATGTAGGTTTGTAAGACCCATAGTTAGCATGTGGGCATGTGCAGCTGTTGCTAAGTGATGTAGGTCTATAATGGTTTATTAAGCCTAGTTAAGGCGAGACACCCCAGGTGAATAGGGTAATTTCTCCAGTTAATTACCTACAATAAGGCAATTGTTTCTTATATTACAAGTTTTCTGAATATGCAAATGATCCATTATCTCATTAAATTTGCGCATATTTTAACACATTTCAGGAACCGAAATCTGAACTTTGGATAAAGCCAGGTTCAAAATTCTCGTTTCATTTTGTAGTCATATTAGCATCTACGGCTTTTACAGAAGGGATTTTGGATATCTCTTTTTATCACTCCATAAATCAGAAAATACTGTCAACAGCCCTAAAATATCAATTTTCGCCATGTTTCTAGGTATAAAATCTTATATAATTCAGGCTATGAATGATATATGAACAAACCCTTGTGTAAAAGCCTTCATAATATTGATAGGAATATAACTGGAAGGTTTGGTGTATGTAAGTGCAACTGAAGTGGAAATGTCGGAATCAGAGTAGGAGATACAACTCATTTTGAGAAAACGACCTTTAAAGATTGCAGTGAGGCGCTAGCTAAACCCTCCTGTTCTTTGGATGACAGCTTGCGCCTCGACGCACTCCGTGAAGGTATTTCATGTTCGGGGTCATTTGTTTTTTGTATAAACTTGCTTCGTGCAAGTGACAATTGTTGTTGTCTTCTCTGTGAACGTTTTTTTCGCCGTTCTTTTGCCATTTTGAGATTTAAATTTCTAGCGGAAAGCTAACCAGGAAGTGTTTTAGCACATCACGTGACGCATCTGAACGAATCACGTTGTCAGAAGTTGACACCAGCCAATGAGATTTCGTTTCTTGGTTTAAGACCCTTTTGTACTTTCACGATTGGTTGCTGATACAAAGGAAATGACCATATTTGGATCCGATGAGATTGTGCAGGAGAGACGGAGCTTTTCCAACGATGACATTGTGCAAACAGCGGTCGCGGTACTTTATGTTACGTTAGAATGCTAACTTTTGGTGAATTTAGGAAAAATATACAGACGCAAATAGACAAACTATAGTAAAATAAACACTTAAATGTGTATTTTGTACGTTTTCCTTCCAAAAGCCTGAAAGAAAACATGTTATGGAATCAAACTAGCACAACATCTCAAAATTGACCAGTGCATGAAAAACGATGTTTTTGCCTGCCGTGTCTCGCCTTTAACAAACAATGTATGCGGCTCGTATCCCTGACAGCCGGGCCCGGCACCGCCTTTTTTTTTTTTTTTTTTTTAAGCGGCTCCCTCCCAATTCTTGGCAGCACCCCCTGAGCAAAATGACTTCCCGCGGCTATGCCTGTAATTGACCCTTTTACAGCCGACGTCATCAAAAAGTTGCGCGCGCATGTGGGCAACAGAAGTGGTGTTGTCTTCCAGCAGTTCTGAATGACAAAGACGAGGTAGCAACTGGTTAGCAAGCATTTACAAACTGTACCCAGCATCAACATGTCTGGTTGTTGCGTATACGGTTGTACGAATCGCTATTCCACCGGCGGACTAAAGTTGTATAGGATTCCGAGAGGACCACGACCATTTCAGAGCAACCGGCGGCGTCTGTGGCTGCAGGCGATTAAACGTGTGGACTGGAATGAGGACATAATCAAAAATGCTCGCGTCTGCAGCGCCCACTTTATATCAGGTAATGAGGTTATCTAGCCTACTCTTTGATTTTACAGGAAAGCCTTGTTTACATTAGTGATTGTCTGTATGATGTAGAATAATAATCAAATGCAGCTCAAGTTTGATAAGCTGGCGTTAGATTAGCCTAGTAGCTTGCTAGGCTAAACAAACGTGTTTGTGTTTTATTTTTGCAGGCGAGGCATCATTGGACTCTAGTAGTCCTGATTTTGTGCCATCTGTGTTCATGTACACAAAACAAAGCCAGAACCCAAATGCAAAGATGGACAGGTAAGATTAGAGTTGCCCTCCTCTCAGTCGTTTTTTGTTTTGTTTTCCTCTCTTGCATAAGCTTTGGTGCCTACAGCTGCTGTTTTGAGATATGGATTAGTTTAACTATACATTTCTGCTGTTACTGTAGGTACCATAGGAAAAGGAGGAGAGCTGACACTGCAGCAAATCAACGTGTTACTTCTGAAACTCCAGAACAAGAATGCAGCATGGATCCAGAACAAGAATGCAGCATGGATCATTGTCCTGGTATGAATATATTTATGAATATATCATCTTACAATTAACTGATTGATTGTCAGGGTTCCCACCCTCACTGAAAGAGTCAGTGTGCTCCTAGTGTGTGTGTGCTCCTGCCAGGCCCACTGCTCCAATTGCTATGTATGTCTGTGTGTGACGTGTACACTGGCCCCCGCCATACAGGTGCAATTCGCTGTGAGGACGTAGTTTTCTCGTTGGTTGATTATAACCCAAGCCTCATACATCGTTGTCTTGTGTCCTTGTCTTTGACTAGGGAGAATTTCTGATCTCAAAATACAAAACTCTGAGTCTATGTCATGGTATTTGACGTTCTGTACATGACCACAGACAACGTATTCGTAAGCATCCAGTGACTTATAGGCTCGTAATTTCTCTCTGGTGTACACGCTCGGTTTCTCAATTAAATAGGTATATATATCTGGCCATATTCGGCCACTTGCTAACGTCTTCAACCCACTCATCAATAGAACACGGATCTGGAAGTCGGACACCATTTGTCAAAGTCAACTTGTTAAGGTAACATTCACGATCTTTAGTTGATAATCCCCTTGCGTAGCTTGACAAGCTGTTTATCTCTGCCATCCTTCTGTTGCCACCATGCGCGCGCATACGTTCTACGTCATCATTGTGTACAAACACAAAAAGGGTCTATTGAACAAATGGAGAACTTTGGCAACGCCCTCTAGCAATTTGGCAACACCCCCAGCCACTGGGATCCGCTGGGTTTTTGACTGGGACACACCCATGTGAGTCCTATCTGGAGTGCTACATCTGTACCTTCATAGATATAGGTGACACAATTCAACTCATCATCCTATTTTAACACTGTAATATAACGCTATATCTAAAGAGATCAATAATATATGATAGATCCAGACATTTTAAAATATACCTTGAGGAGGCGGTTCATCTCGGCCTCCATGTTGGAGATGGTCATCCTCTGCATGATGACGTCAGTGATCCTCCGCTCCAGAGACTGCCACTTGTTGCGAGCGATCCTGGTGGATAAGATCCCTGAGCGCCGGTAGGAAGTCCTGCACACACAGCAGCATGGATTTAACACGTTTAAGCAAATCAATCATGTAAATGATCTGATTCAAACGTTTCAGTTGCAGCGTCCTGATGATGAATTATATCTTATAATCAGGGGTGCACATAACTTTTTTGCCCTGGTTCTCAAAGGAGCACCTGGAGATGTTGCTTGGTGCTCATCCTTAAAATGAAATAAACCGTAACTTTTGAGAGAGTCTTTATTTGCCAGACACACGGCACTGAACACACATGCAGAGGTGAACACAGAACACACATGCAGAGGTGAACACAAGACAACATTAGCACGACCAGTAATCCTACAAGCTGTCATCACTCCTCCTGACTGTTCTCCTCACTGTCTTCCTCTCTGTCAGACATGGTAGCTGATGATGTAGGCCTACTTCTTTCTCTCTGGTTGAGTCTGCGATTAGATGCTTGCATCCACAAGTCAACAGCTGGGTTTGGGTCGAAAGTCTCTGTTGTCATCTTAGACAAGTGGATGTAATCAAATAAGTATGTGAACATCACCAATAACCTACCATAGCCAATAACAAATGGATGTAATTTATTTTATTTGTGTTGTTCATTCATATCTTATTTTACCTTAACATTTATTTATGCATTTTTTTTTATCTCTCCAGTTTTAAAGGATATTTTTGGTTACTGTCCTATAGTATACATTGGAATGATTTCAAACCTGTTTATCCCAATAATTATAAAGGAGTGCCTTGGAAATATGTGTTTACATAAATTGTGACCAAACCGTTTGAACTTAGACTAAGAGTAATTTACCTCACTGAGCTGTAGTTAACTTATCAGCCTCTCAGTCTGACTGGAGAGGACTCTCCCTCTACATTATTGTAGAAACATCTTCTTCTTAAATCCGTTAGAGCAGCTAGCACCAGATTCTAATAACAGCGCCGGTGCACCCTCCCTCTCTCCCTCACTCGCATTTTGGCTGTGAGCTGCGGGTGCCAGATAAGCCATGCAACATTCCCTATTTTCATCACTTACAGCGCCCATCGTACAGGGCAAATGAAACGTGTAACCGGGGTGAAAAGGGTGTTACATTTACTTAATTATGAATATTGTTACATCAAGGCCGAAAATTAGGATGAGCCCCAACGGTCAAAAAAATGTTTTTCCCTCCCAGAGCTGCCAGCGCAGTGCCTCCACAGATCTGGCGCCCTAGGCGAACATCTATTACGCCAGTGCTACGGGCCGACCCTGAGTTCATATGTAACTCGCAAATATCTTTCTCTCTTCTCTCTCCTCTCTTCTCTCTCTCCCTCTTCTCCCTCTCCCTCTCAATGTTGGTGCGCAAATGCGCCTTTTTTCAAATGACCCGGTGCTCTTTTTTTAGCGGAGGTGCGCATGCGCACCTGCGCACCAGTTATGTGCAGCCCTACTTATAATCCAACATATTAATGGCAAGAAAATCATCTTTAAAGTACGTTTTCCTCGCCTAAGACACAGCAATTAATGTTGTACCCTCTTTAGGGGGACATGAAAATGAGGCCTGTATTAAACACCATGAGTTCAGTTCCTTTGAGTCCTATTGCACTAATACTAACTAAGTAAAATACTTATAGAACAGCACAATGGGCTTTCAAGTTATATAACATAAGTGAGATTAAAAGAGCACATTTTTTATCTTTTCAAAAAGGAGATAATTACAGCAAAGACTTCATGGCAGATATATTCTTTCTGTGCTTCAATAAGGATATGTCATTACTTGATTATATCATATTTAAAACTCAATAATTACAATGCTTGTTGTATTATAACCATTCATTGGACATGTTGGAAAGAGAAAACCATTATACCAAAGCAAATTCCCTGATTTGGTATTCAAACTGATTCTGATTCTAATGGAAATGTAATATGGTTTTTGCATTGCGATTATTTAAATTATGTTAAAACAAATCCAAAAACGGATTCTAGGGAATGTTACTTTTGAGGATTTCATATCCCAGTGATGGCGCAGGTGTTGAGTGTCTTGCTTGCATAATACAGGGAGAAAACCTGGCCTTTTTTGGCTCCACAAAAACAAACTATATTTAGTCTCCCCCCTTTTTTTCGGTTTCGCTCTCAGACTCACCGCGTGCCGTTGGGAGCAGCGTTGCCGGAGGAGTACAGGCGTCCAGATGGAGGTCTGTAGCTGGAGTCCTGCACCGGGTCAGACAGGAACTTCCTCACCACCTTCCCTGAGGTGGGCCGGGCCTGCCTCCTCAGAGCCGTCACCTGACACACACACACACACACACACACACACACACACACACACACACACACACACACACACACACACACACACACACACACACACACACACACACACACACACACACACACACACACACACACACACACACACACACACACACACACACACACACACACACACACCACACACACACACACACACACACACACACACACACACACACACACACACACACACACACACACACACTGAATCACAAGAATCTCTACATACACAACGTAGAACAGGGTTTCTCAAATAGCTAGGGATTTTAGAAGTTAGTAAAGTTTAAAGGAAATAAATGTTATTTAATATTAAATATTCTTATTTTGTCAATACAATTTGGAGCTAGCCGAAACATTGAAGTGCAGAAAATGCAATTCAATTCAGTATTTTCGTTTCCCAGTGTGTCTGGGAAGCTAATTTTGATATTTAATGACAGATTAAATGACATGAGGTTACATGTATTTGCATTAAACTGGTGATTTAATCCAAAGCCATTTACAATAAGTGCAATAAACCATCAGCGGGTAAACTAGCTTTAACTTGCCAAACATTTTACTACAACTTTATTTTCATTTAAAATCTTTAGAGGAAAACTGTCATTTGTCAACAGAAATAAGTGATACATAAGCCCAATGCTGTTTTAGTGTTATGGTAAGATTAACACTTTTTGACATGAATTTTGTGATATATTCAAAAAAGATATTTATTTTTAGTAACAAGTAAGTAAGTAAAGTTTATTTATAAAGCGCTTTTCACAGGCTGATGATCAATGAACCCACATGTTAAGAAGTCATAAAAGCACCAGAGCATAATTTAAGACACAATAAAACAAAACTTACAAACGAAATTTAAAACAAACAAAAATAAAAACATAGTATTAAATGGAATAAGATCAAGCACACCGGTTACCCAAACGCCTGACCAAACAAGAATGCCTTTAAAATAGTAACACGGCTTGATTGATGGTGCAGCTGTGTATTGCACCTCTTTATTTGTTATGTAAAATGCTTTGCACTTGTCATGAGACCTTGGTCTTAAAAAATATGTAAAATGTGGAACATTATCAAAAAAGGTTTGAGGAACACTGATGGTTGCTCACCTCCTCAGTCTTCCTCCTCAGGATCAGCTCCTGCTGCCTCTTCTGAGCCTCCAGCAACTTCAGCTGGTGCTGTAACACATCAGTGTTCAACAGGTTAGGTGAGGAGATCACAACGTGTGGCTCAGATTCATTAAGATGCAATTAAAGCAGACTGATATGTAGAGGGAACCCCCGACGGTCGCTAACCTCCTGCTTGCGCTGGTCTTTCTTTAGCGTGGCGATTTCTCGGTTTCTGCGAGACTCGTTCATCCTGTTCTTCTCCTGCTGCTCCTTCATCTGCTTCATGAGACGCACCTGCAACAAATGGGAGAAATATTCATATTATATAATACGCAAATATCTTGAAAGTGCCTCCATATTCAGATGAAAGTTCTTGTTGCAGCCAATTTGATGTATTTTAATATTTTGTATATGAAGGTGCTGTGGTACGACTGAATTGACCTGGGCATAGGCGGGGACTCAGCCAATTTCAGGGTACAGCCTACTATTTGGGGAGGACACAGGGGCACAGCATGAGGGATTGGGAATCACCAGAGGGAAGCCACACAGTTTTTCAACCGTGCGTGTTTTCGCTTATTTTCTGTTTGTTTTGAGTTAATTTCGGTATATTTCTTTATCACAGTTAGTTGTTTAGTTATCAGTTAAACACCCGGCTCTTGTTTTGCTGTCATCATCCTGCAATCCAGATAAACATCTTAAATGCACTCAAAGAGAAGACCTGATTTGCTGTCAACACCACGCGTCTGGAAAAGCTTCACACCATATCCCTCACTGGCAAATATTAGTTGTTCGGTTGCCTTTACAGTTCTCATAAGATTTGTAAAATCATTTGGAGCCTTTCTTAAATCCTACCTCTTGACTTTGTCCTTGTTTGACTACAAGTGTGGCCTACTTTCATTACTTTAGGTCATTTCAAATGTAGTTTAGGTCGTTGTTTGAGACGGTGAAGTGGAGATGTACAGGAAAGATAGTTGAGTCACATGGCAGAAAATAAACTTCAGTGAAACATTTCTGATGCATCCCTAAGTTGATAAACAATATGGCAACCTTTATTTTATTCCTATTAGGAGACAGTACTTTCAAGCACACTAAACGAAGGCAACATACTATCAAAACAATCAGAGACCTCAGATCTCCACCAGAGTATTATCACCATAGGCAAGGCAAGTTTATTTATATAGCCAGGGGTGCACATAACTTTTTTGCCCTGGTTCTCAAAGGAGCACCTGGAGATGTTGCTTGGTGCTCATCCTTAAAATGAAATAAACCGTAACTTTTGAGGGGGTCTTGACTTGATTTGCCAGACACACGGCACTAAACACACATGCAGAGGTGAACACAGAACACACATGCAGAGGTGAACACAGAACACACATGCAGAGGCGAACACAAGACAACATTAGCACGACCAGTAATCCTACAAGCTGTCATCACTACCCTCCTGACTGTTCTCCTCACTGTCTTCCTCTCTGTCAGACATGGTAGCTGATGATGTAGGCCTACTTCTTTCTCTCTGGTTGAGTCTGCGATTAGCTGCTTGCATCCACAAGTCAACAGCTGGGTTTGGGTCGAAAGTCTCTGTTGTCATCTTAGACAAGTGGATGTAATCAAATAAGTATGTGAACATAACCAATAACCTACCATAGCCAATAACAAATTAATGTAATTTATTTTATTTGTGTTGTTCATTCATATCTTATTTTACCTTAACATTTATTTATGCATTTTTTTTTATCTCTCCAGTTTTAAAGGATATTTTTGGTTACTGTCCTATAGTATACATTGGAATGATTTCAAACCTGTTTATCCCAATAATTATAAAGGAGTGCCTTGGAAATATGTGTTTACATAAATTGTGACCAAACCGTTTGAACTTAGACTAAGAGTCCTTACCTCACTGAGCTGTAGCATCAGCCTCTCAGTCTGACTGGAGAGGACTCTCCCTCCACATTATTGTAGAAACATCTTCTTCTTAAATCCGTTAGAGCAGCTAGCACGGCACCAGATTCTAATGACAACAGCGCTGGTACCGGTGCACCCTCCCTCGCACTTTGTCTGTGAGCTGCGGGCGCCAGATAAGCCAACATCCCCCATTTTCATCACTTACAGCGCCCATCGTACAGGGCAAATGAAACGTGTAACCGGGGTGAAAAGGGTGTTACATTTACTTAATTGTGAATATTGTTACATCAAGGCCGAAAATTAGGATGAGCCCCAACGGTCAAAATGTTTTTTTTCCCTCCCAGAGCTGCCAGCGCAGCACCTCCCCAGATCTGGCGCCCTAGGCGAACATCTAGCCAGTGCTACGGGCCGGCCCTGAGTTCATATCATGGTTCATATGCAACTCGCAAATATCTTTCTTTCTCTCTCTCCTCTATTTTCTCTTTTCTCTTCTCTCTCTCTCTCTCTCTCTCCTCTATTTTCTCTTCTCCCTTCTCTCTCTCCCTCTCTCAATGTTGGTACGCAAATGCGCTTTGTTTCAAATGACCCGGTGCTCTTTTTTTGGCGGAGGTGCGCATGCGCACCAGTTATGTGCAGCCCTGTATATAGCCCCTTTCAACTCAGGCAATTCAAAGTGCTTTACAAAAATTGAACGACATTAAGAACATGGCATTTAGAAACAGTCATTAAAAAGCTAATCAAATAAGCTTTAAACCACACACTACTGTCTGATATAAGCCCACCTTGGTCTTCTTCATCTCGGCCACGTCCATCTGCAGCTTCTTCATCTGCTTCTCGTACTGCGACTGGTTCTTCAGCAGCCGGGCGTGCTCCTTCTGCGCCGACTGCAGCTTCTGCAGCTCCTTGTTCATCACGCTCAGCTTCTTCTCGTACTCCGTCTTGATCTTTCGAGACTTCTCGTCTGTGCCCGATTCCACTGTGTCTGAAAGTGAGCAACACAAAGATCGTAAAGAACTGGTCTTCCTTCAAATGACAATGCAGCAATGCTGTCAAAAATATACATTACACAACCATGTTCATTGGGAAGAGATGCTGACATTGCGTTGTTGATACAAACATGTGTCCTGTAATCATTTGAAACAGAAACCTAGACCTCCAGAAAATGTATCTTTTGTGATTTTTTTTTTTAATAAGACGAGCTGAAACTCCTCCACGCTCTGATCCATTAGTGCTGCTAAATATAAACTGTCATGTCTGTCTGCAGGCGGAGAGATCTCACTTCAAAGGATCCTCTGAACAACAAAGTCTCCTTCATTAGTACAGAAGAACATCTGCTATCAAACATAAGGCTAAGTTATACAATCTTTCAAATCAAAGCAGGACAAGCAAGAATGTAAATATCCTGTCATGCATTAGGATGTATTCATAATATCTGTCTATTACTGAAATAAACTCATCAAAAGGCACAGACATTATAAGCCAGACACACATTTTGTTGAGTGTTTTTATCCAAGCTGCCTGATCATGAGTGGGTTCAAGTATTTTTAGAGGATAAATCGACACTTTTCTTCCCACTGTGCAAAACATTAGTAAAAGTCTGCTCTGATTGGTTAGCTAGCTGGCTCTATTGTGATTGGTCAACCGCTTAGAGATGTCCCACCCCTTAGCCATCACGTACAATGTGTTGGAGCGCTAGCCAACAGAAGCACAAGTGTTACATAGTGATGTCATCATGTTACAGAAGTAAACAAAAGAGTCCAATGGAGAAAAACAGCAGAAGAGACGTGTGACAGGAAGCTAAATTGTTTGAGTATGAATGTACGTCTCGTTTGTTTTTATTTTTTGATGGCACCTTGAAACGAAAACCTAACCCTGCTCATCTCATTGTACCTGTATAATGACAATAAAGGATTATATTCTATACATGAACATTTCTCTCCCTGTGATACAGGACTCCCCCTCCTGGTCTTACTCATTTACACGCACAGAAACCCATATTACACCCTACAGGAAAGGGAAAAAACACCTGGAAGCATAATAGTGGTCTTTAAGTCAAAGTTAAAATGCTCTTCCTCTGAGTCAGGACCCCCCCTCCTCCTGGTCTTACTCATGTTCTGCAGCACCTTGTCCCTCTCCAGCTGCGTGTCTCTGATCTTGCACTGCAGCATCATGAGCTTCTGCTCGTACTGCTGCTTCAGAGTGTGAAGCCGCCGCTGGCTGTTCTCCAGCTCGTCGATCAGCTTCTGCTTGATGGCGATCTCACAGGTGATGTTGGCCAGGTCCGCCTGGAAGTTATCTGAGGTACACATCAAATCAGTTTAATTATATATACACAATGTACAACAATATCTGTTTTTTTTTTTTTATTACTGCCGATTCTATTTCTATGTAAATACTGTTATATTTTACTATATATTTTTAATATTTTCCTAGTTCTCTATCTGTGCTTTTAATTTTTGTTTTACTTTTATGTATGCACCACGACATCAAGTCAAATTCCTCGTCAACCATGGATGTATAATAAGAACTGGATACAGCGTGGGAGGCGGGGCCTCGTTCATTCCTGTGAGAGTTGCTCATTGGCGCATGAAGACAAAATGGCCCAACTTTTGAGAGAGCGAAACGTCACGAAAGTATTTATATAATCCGTTCTTATTGTGCATCCATGGGTAAAGGTAAAACTCATGTAGTACTGAACACGTCACATGAACGTGCCGGGCGGCGCGGTCCCGTGGGTTAGATGCGTGTTCATAATGCCGAGGAAAATAACTGTCAGAATAACGTTATTAGCACATTTTACAACATGAGGACCTAATGTTTTTAATAAGGGCTATACAAGTGTTCATACTGGGTAGTTTATTTAGTTAAAAAAAAATTATCCAACGATTTACAGACGTCTCTTTCCCGATGTTAGTCAATGGGAAAAAGTGTTTCCGGGCCCAGCGACTGATACGGAAGTTGCAGTACCGCGTTTGGCCACAACGAATATTTTCCTCAGAGTCCGGCGCACTTCCTGGGGGCTTGGTGTCAACCTACCTGGTGATAAACCTGTTTCTGATTCTGATATCGTTTTCTGTGTTAAATTAAGGTCCCCTTTGGAATGATTTTATCTCATAATAGTAGTATAGGCCTATGCTATAAATTAGGGATGCACGATATTGGTTTTTTGAAACCGATACCGATAACTTCCTGCTTCTCAAGACCGATACCGATAACCGATAATAATATAATATATATATATATATATATATATATATATTAAATGTACCTGTAGTTTTTGCACACCTGGTGGTAGTTTAGCAGCGCAGGCGTCTTCGTACGCTTTTAACACACCATCGTAGCGATGGCGATGTTTCAGGTGACTAATCAGGTTGGAAGTATTATAGCTCGTTGCCTTTTTCCCTCCTCGTGGAACTTCTGCATTGCATTTGTTAATACAAATAGCAAGCGAACTATCTAACTCTGAAACTTTGAAATAGTCCCATACTACCGGCGACATGTTTGTTTACTGTCCTGGCTTCACGGCCGCACACCATTTACGTCACAGCCAGGCATGAGTTAGGGAGCGCTGGATTTGTGAGAAACTCCCCTCTTCCTAAACCACAGTACTGGCAAAACGGGAGCCGAGTGAAAAACAAGCGCCCCTCATCCCAATCCACCCACACCGCAGTATTTTTTTCACCCAAAAAATATATTGTATATTATCGGGGCTATTAATACTGTTATCGGGTTTATCGGGATGACGTCATAATTCCTAATATCGGACCGATAATTATCGTGCTATAAATTGATGGTTGTGTTTCTGCAAAATGCTGTCTGTATGTGTAAACAGTATTTATTTGTTTGAATATGTTAACATTTTTATCGTTTAACACAGTGGATACAAATAGTATTTACAAACGTACACATAATCAATATATAAAATAAAAATAACAATTATTGTTTTGTTTTTGGAAGTTTCAAGATGTTTTTTACATTACATGACGATTTGGAACTACTTTACCTTACTTAAAATAATCTTTTGTCCCTTAAGATTTTCATTGACAACAACCTATAGGCTGTATCTGTGGTGCATATGAAAATAAAGCACTTGAATCTTGAATTATAGTACATGTTACAGTATAAATGTTACAAAAAGACAACCTAGCACTAAAATAAATGCAACATCCAAAGGAATCGCTCCTAATCTGGCATTTAGCAGTGTTCATTAATACATATTGGGTGAATTAAAACAACTGATCAGCTCTAAATGCATCTGAGAAAGTCACTAAAACATTCTGTATGTGCTGCTGGTTGAAGATGGAAGTGTTTAGTCAGATGTGAGTAAACAGCCCCCCCTGGTGGAGAAGCAGCACCTTTTAAAGTAAAGTGAGAGACTGATCGTACCTTTTTCATCCGATTCAGAGTCAGAATCATCGGAGCTCTCCTCCACCTCCATCTCCTCTTCATCCTCCTCCTCTTCCTCGTCTCCTTCCTCGTGGTCGCTGCCTTCCTGGCCCTCCTGAACAATAACATGTTTCATATCTGAAGGCTCTCACTTTTAATGTACTGCAATGTAAAGATGAAAAAATAGGAAGTCATTCATACAATTTCTGCTTCCTCGTGGCCTCGCTCCGTCATCTCCTTCTCGGTTCCTTTCTCCTGCTCGTTGTCAGGAACTTCCTCCTTGTTGGCGCTGAAAGAGTCAGATAGAAATGAAAATCAGAAACTTTATTGATCGACTGATCAGAACACAAACAGGTGTTGTGACACATTTTCCAAATCATTTGTCGTTTTTTTAGTCGGCGCGGCAGATGTTTAGCAAACAACTCATAGAAACACTGTCTTTCCAGCAAACCAACTGTTTTCACCATTTTGTAGCAATAAAGCTACTACATATTCACGACTCCATTTGCTATGATATATTTGAGGAGGAAATGCCTTGTAAACAATAAACAGAGATTAGACTTGTTGAGCTTGTTTGTGGAAAAGACAGTGTATATGTCTTAACAAAGGAAGGAGGCAGCATACGCTAAAAAGCATGAAGGGAAAAATCAAAAAAGTGATTAAACTCAGGTCTGTTGGATAAAACATGTATCCAAACCGAGAGGGTTAGGGATGTTTAAGTGGTGTTTCACACAAACTGCTGGATAAGACATTGCCACAGGAGAGCAGAGACAGGTAGGTATAATGTCATGTTTAATCGTTTTTATACATTTAAATCTAATAACAGTCTGTAGTAAAAATAAATCCTGTGAGCTCAATCTGACAAATTCCAAATTAAAATCTGAAAAAAAAGATCAAATGAAGAAATATTTGGAGCACCTTGACACCCAAGACCTCTGCCATAATGATCGCTTGTCTAACTACATATCATTTTTATCTGTATCTAATGCATTCTTTATTATTGTAATAATTATATTTCAGGGACTTTTGTAGAAAAAAAACCTACTTTTCGTTCTTCTTCATGATTGGGGTTTGATTAGTTTATTTAAAAAGTCACATTAATAAACATTTCTGTAAATGTGCCAGAGTTACATCTGTTGTCCCTATTGGCTAGACTAGAATATTTATCAGGTATTATGTATAGCAAATAGGGCTGTACCCGAATATTCGTTCGTTGGAGTACTATTCGGGTTTCAATTTCGTTATTCGGAAACTCGTTTTGTTTGTTTTTTCGTTTTTTATCAGTTTAATTTTTTTTTGGAATTTATTGAAATCTCCGTAAGGGCTTGTGCCTCTTCGGGGGGTGCTAACACTTAACCATAAAACCATAGCATAAAACGTTATCGTTTACTTTCTCCGTCTTTATATGTAGATATTACTTTTCTCTGTTAATCTCCGTCACGTTGTTTCCATAGCAACAACAACTTCCTGTCAATTGCGCTACCTCTCCTTCAAAATAAAAGCATGTCCATAAATAGGAAGCCAAGCCAAATTACACTTAAGACATATACAACTGCAACGAAAGTAACAAACACAATGCGATATCCTTTTCAATTTCAAAGAACACAAATTGGGTTACATTAACAAATAACTATAAAACAACAATACTGTAGAATAGCAAAATGAATGCCGTGAATAAACCGAAATACACGTGTTGAAGCGGTTCGCTGCTGATTACTACCGAATATCCGGAGCCCGAAAAATGGTATTCGGGACAGCCCTAATATCAAATGATTATTATTACGTCATAGAGTCAAACAGTCAGTTAAAGTCAAGGTAGTTCAAATATATAAACATGAAGGGTCAATGAATAAGCTGCAGAACTCACAAATCTAAAGAGAAATACAGGTTTTTAACGTGGTATAACAAGTGTTTGATGGAGGGGAAGTGCTTCTATGGTAGCGGGTTTCACTCCAGGTGGGGGAATACCTGTGCAAAAAAAAAAAGTTAAATAAAGAGCTGAATTAGGGGAAGGGAAGCGGAGGATGGGAATGGCAACAGGAGGGTGGGAGCTCAGACAAACCTGACGTCATCCCCCTCTTCCACCACCTCCTCCCTTTCCTCCCTGTCTCTGTCCTCCAGCAGCTGCTGCAGCCTTCGGGGGGGGGGGGGAGGGGGAGAGATGAACGAAGGAAGGAAGAGCGGAGGGGAGACTGATCAAAATCCAACTTTTATCCCCTTCAGATGCCCCAAAGTGCATTGTTTCTATAGGTTCATCTTCACGCAGAAAAGTCTACCCGTCATACTTGTGTCTGCATCGAGGATAAAGGCCTGTTTTTCTGCATTGGCCAAACGAATATAAAAACACGTTTTTTCTAGATGTTTTCTCCAGTCAGGGTGAAAATAAAAGGATAACTTGCAATCAGACAAATGAGTTGGAAAATATCGGCATGATGGATACGGAGAAAAATCCCAAATAGTGCGTCACAGGTAAAAAAGAAAATCTGTCGAAACTCAAATGTATGCTACATACATTAAATGTGAATTGTAGTAATGGTGTGCGGACTGTAAATTAAGTCAAACTGCACATACATTATTAAAGCTAATAGCTAAATGCTCTGTGATGTAAAGATGTCATTAAAGGTGGGGTAGGTAATTCACTTCAGAAACACTTGTTATATTCCATGGAATGCTCTTAACATCCCGATAGCAATGAATACATTAAATGCTTTGACAATACATGTAATCTGTGGAAGCCGTGGCGCTGTAAAAAGCACGACCAATCATCTGAGCCGGCCCGGCTAAAGTAACTGGATGGCCTACCTGCCTGTCAGCCTTCCATCTGTGCACAAACTTATCTCGTGCCCTCATTGGTCATGTGGGCGTTCGTGTGTGTTGGAGGAGGGGCTCTGTGAGGAAGTCTGAAGGAAGGGGCAGATTTTCTTCGGCGGCGTACTTTCATATTCTAGCGCACTCGAGCTGGTTTCTCCGTTCCTTTAAATATGCACATTCAAATGCACTTTTTTTTTTACTTCTGCCATATTTTGTATTAAAATCCATTAAAAGTCAAACCTATTTTTGTGTAAAGATGTTATTCATGTGCCTTCCAAAAACGTAATCTGATGTATGAGCACCTGCACCCACACCTCCAGTCAAAGCATTCGATGCTGGATCTAATTTCTGTGTCAGAACTTTACCTTTTCTTTTTCTTCTTCTCTCGTTTCTTCAGTTTCTCCAGGTCCTTCTTGGCCAGTTCAATGATGTCCGAGGTCTCCTTCTCCGGGGCCAGCAGCGAGGGCCCTCCTCCGTACAGAGACTGGCGGTTAGAGGCTCGGGATAGATTCTTCCTCAAGTACTCGTTCACCGACTCGCTCTCCAGGAGTTTGGCTCTGAAGGAGGATATCAAACAGGGAGAACATAACGATGAACAAGGGCAGAATATATACCAGGTTTCGTCATTCTTTGCTGCTTTCTAGCCCCACATCTTAGAGAAGCAACCACAAAGCATATTTGAAATGACTCCGACTGTTTCTCTCCTCTTGTCTCGTCTCTGTGTGTTTGAATCTATCGTGCTGACTCACTCACTGCACCGATTTGATTGGCTGAGTAGCATCACCTCCTTAAAACATTAAACAATAACTTTTAAAAACCTCTTTTTTTTTAACATTTTCAACATCGTGGATAAATCCTTATATGCTCCCGGCAACACACTGAATGTCAACTTTGCCTCCTTCTTACACTCAGCCCTACTTTAGTGGGAACAATGAGTCTGGGTCTTTGATGCGCACAGGCGGATGATGCGGGGATGCAATGTAGACAGGAATACACGCAGGTCATCCTCTGGCTGCAGCCTTGACCCGCACTTAGGGATGCATACCGGTATCCGGTATTACCGAAATACCGGTTACTGGTGGCTACGGTATACCGTACCGAAATCAGATCCGGTTTCGATACTTTAAAAAAAAAAAAAAATCTTTTAAATTAATTTTAAAAGTGAGTCCGTGGCCCGTGATGGCGGGTGTTATTAATGAGATTGCATAATCGTTTTTCTTCATATTTTATGTATTTTTCATTGTTTGTTCAATACTAGAAATGTAAAAGTCCCACAAATGAACTGTGATGGGATTTGTTTTCTCTCACCAGTGAAGGCAAATGTTGATTTTAAAGATGAGATTTGTTTGTTTGTGCAATGCCGAGATCTCATGACCTTTATGTATTTGTTCTCTAGTCGAATCTCAGGTTTAACATGAATTATAACGGTGTCTGTTTGCATTGACAAGATGTGCTATTCACGCGGCACACCTGATGGCGGGTGTTATAAAAGATATTCCATAATCGGTTTTCTTCATATTCTTTATGTATTTTCATTGTTTGTTCAGTACTAAAAAGGTCCAAGAAGTCCCACAATTGAATTTAATATTCATTTGACATGTTAACTATATCGTAAAGCGCTTCATGGGAGTAATTGTGGGATGATACATTTTCAAAGTATCACGATATGTATCGGTTGAGTATCGGTATCGTTCAGTGGTATCGGTATCGTAAAAAAGTCAACGATATGCATCCCTACCCGCACTTGCTTTTGATCAAAGTCAATGTGGAAAACCCGCACTCACACAGGTAGGTGGAGGTGAAGGGAATGAGCACTTTCACAGCCTTTTTGGCGAGGTGGGGGAACTCGCTCTCCACAGACAGCCAAAAGTGACACACGTTTCCTGCCAGACGCTGTCTCCTCTCTCCCTTTAGGTAACTTCACTACAAATCCATCCATGTTGCCGCTCGCATTAAGTTAGCTGAAGTTAACTAGTGTAGAGCCGATGAATGGGAGTCGGAGGCGGCGTGTTTAGTATGGAACTCCACACTTTATTAGGTTTACAGAGGAAATAATAACTTGCTACTGTCAAGCTAGAATGATATCAACAACAAGGTACACTCTCTAACAGGTCCGTGGTGCAACACACACTATACACCACAGTGAATTATGTCCCATAATGTTCCACCACACAAGCTAGTTTTAACTGTTTCTCGTTATTTTTTTCTCACGCTGCGCCTCCCCTGAAGCTCTCTGGCGCCCCCCCCCCCCCACTGCTTCTTCATCTGGGTTTTTAAGTGCCACAACAATGGACACTAATGTCTGACAATACAATGCAAAACACTAATAAAAGAGCTTATTGCATTCAAAACAATAATTTAAGAGAAAAGAAGGGAGAGCCATTTCCTGTGAAAAAGTAGGAGGGTTAAAACATTAAGAACAATAGTTTTGGTGTACAAACTAACTAAAACCCCAAGTATTGGTTATTAAAATATCACGTTTCTGCCATATGGAATCAGTATGATAGAAGTGAGGCACATGTAGCATTTACATAATGAGGAAGAGTTGTCTACCTGAGGTCTTCAATCTCTTTGATGTAACCCTGAATCATGGTTCCAATTTCTTCAGTTGCGCCTTCACCTGGAAGAGAGTCAGGCCATTTTACAGGAGACACAGGAGGATAACAAGGCTTTTCGAACATAACTAAATAGCAACATCCCTTTAAGGTCCCCTATTATACTGTTTTTCATCAATGTATCACAGGTCTCATATACAGAGCCTGTCTCTGATTGACTGAAACACCAAACAGATCATTGCAGCATTACCCATAATCCCCTCTGTTTCAGCCCTGTTTCCAAAATGCTGATTCTCTGTCTGTGACTTTAGATGAAAATAAGGAGCCCCTCCCCACGCCCCTCTGAGAGAGATTTGGTTACAAAGAACTCAATGGTGCTCTAGGAGGAGATTCAGGTGATAAGGTGGGGGGGGGGGGGGGGTTACCTTGGTTGCTGATTGGCTAATGGTTACACAAGACAACACATCGTTATGACATCATAAAGTGGCCAAAATCTGATCAGCTCATTTTCAGACAGGTTTTTATAGAAATGGATCAAAAAGAGAGAGAATCTTTGTTCCTGAAACTTTCAGAGTCTCTTTCCACAGAGGGGACACATGGTGATGTAGAAGAGACATGAAGAAGAGGGGACACATGTTGATATAGAAGAGACATGAAGAAGAGGGGACACATGTTGATGTAGAAGAGACATGAAGAAGAGGGGACACATGTTGATGTAGAAGAGACATGAAGAAGAGGGGACACATGTTGATGTAGAAGAGACATGAAGAAGAGGGGACACATGTTGATGTAGAAGAGACATGAAGAAGAGGAGACACATGTTGATGTAGAAGAGACATGAAGAAGAGGGGACACATGTTGATGTATAAGAGACATGAAGAAGAGGGGACACATGTTGATGTAGAAGAGACATGGAGAAGAGGGGACACATGTTGATGAAGAAGAGGGGACACATGTTGATGTAGAAGAGACATGAAGAAGAGGGGACACATGTTGATGTAGAAGAGACGTGAAGAAGAGGGGACACATGTTGATGTAGAAGAGACATGAAGAAGAGGGAACACATGTTGATGTAGAAGAGACATGAAGAAGAGGGAACACATGTTGAAGTAGAAGAGACATGAAGAAGTGGATTTTGCACAATAGGTGACCTTTAACTCTTACAGAATGGACTTCACACCAAAGGTTTATATCAACGTATCGTACCTGCCCTGGCGATCACCTGGTTGGCCTGGTCGCTCAGCAGCTGGGTGAGCCTGGCTCTCTGGGCGTCGATGGTCTCCTGCATGGCCTTCACCCTCACCCGCAGGTTGCTGTTCTCCGTCTGCAGCATGGAGTTCTCGTGGAACATGTCGCTGAAGCTCTCCACGCCGTCCTCCCCCGTCAGACGCTTGCCCTGCACGGGGGGAGGAGTAACCACAGTTACAATCAATCATCGTTTTTATCATCAGTGCATTATGCATGGAACACATTTTGGACTCTTCATTGTCTCTTTTATCATAGGCAAGAAGAAATAGCCATGCCATGTTATTTGTTGATCAAGTTGTTCTCAGTAAGTCTATAAACCTTTGTTTACTGCTGCTTCTACAATATATATCTCTGCACCTTCTCTACTGCATATGTACTGTTCCAATATATATTTATTTTTGGTTTCAATTATCGCATTATAAAAATGTTTGTATGTATTTTTCTTGTTTTCCATTTCAAGTGTTTTGTGTGTTTGTTTTGTATGTTAACCTTTGTTTTACCTTATTTTGTTGTTGTGTTTTTGTAAAAGTGTATTGTTTTGAGGTCTCTCCTGCTTTATTTTATTTTCTATTTTACTATATTTTTTCGCAATGTTATTATAGTGTTCTTAAAATAATTCTCTATCTGTGTTTTTACATTTTAGCTTTATTTGTATGTATGCACCACGACACCAAGTCAAGTTCCTCGTATGTGTCAGTAAACCTGATTCTGATCTTAAACCCAATGAGACCACCTGATAAAGATGAACTAAATGATCTCCTGGTTCTCTCTCGCTCCTCACCGTCTTGTACTCCATGAGCTCGATCTGCAGCCGGGCGATCTCCGTCCTCAGAACGCTGATCTGCTGGCTGGCCTTGTCCTGGTTCAGCATTACTTTGTTCTTGATGTTCCTCGCTCTGTTGGCGTACTTCAGCGTGTTCAGCGTCTCCATGAAGTCCCGGTCCGACGGGCTGATGCAGGCGATCATCACCGTTTGGCTGGGATTAAAACACAGGCAGATATTTATTATATGTTTGGTTCAGCTGCAAAATTACAATGTTAATTGTATTAAATGCTTTCAATCTCAATCTTTCTTTATTTATATAGCACATTTAAAACAACCTCAGTTGACCAAAGGGCTGTACAGGAAATAAATCCAATATAAAATAACACAATGGGAGTAAAATAATAAAACAATAATTAAAAACACATACAAATGTAAAAATGTTATGTTCAACTAGAATTAAAAGCCAGTGCAAAGAGGTGAGTTTTTAGCTGAGGTTTAAAAAGTTCACTGGACTGAGCATCCGGATATGAGCTTTCATCGTTTGTTTTATGATCGATTTGGAGAAACAATTGGTTCAAACCGTGTAGAAGCCAGCAAAGAAAAGCTATTTAAATGTATGCACTTTATGTTTTCGTTCATAGCCCTTATGTGCCTTTTTATCTATTCTTATGTGTGCCTTTTATCTATTATAGTAATATTATATTTTATTATAATGTTATTTCTGCTGTGAAGCACTTAGGTAAAACCCTCTGTTTTTAATATGTGCTATATAAATAAAGTGGATTGGATTATGTATACTGTAGGTAGAGGATACTTAATGCTTTAATCCTGATTAAACTGTGGAAACTATTGTAGAAGTTTAAGTGAATAAATTGCATTTTTTAGTGCAGTTTTTCAACTATCCTAAAGTGTCTAAATATTGCTCAAATCCTCACCAATGTATATAAATGAGTTCAATAGTTTGCAAGTAGTGTTGTCAAATATTGCATATTAACAACATTGTTATCGTCAATCAACTTCTTAATATATGGAGAGTATAAAAACCTTTTAAACTTTGTAATAATCTTGTTATGTTCTTTTATACTGCAGTTGATAATCTGCAATGTATTCCTGTTTCCCTTCAATGATTGAAATGAATCTTTGATCTGCGGGTCCACAATGAAGATGGTACGTTCTAAAAAATGTGATTGAGTATTTCCCCGACCTGTTTCCTCCGAGCGAGTCCTGCAGCAGGCGGGTGAGCTTGGAGTCTCTGTAAGGCACGTGAGAGGAGCGCTTGCTTCGGTCGCCCAGAGCGCTGATTACATTCCCCAGAGCGAGCTGCAGGAATACAGAGGGGAGACATTTTTAAAGGTGATCCAACACTTCAATAAATAGATAGGGTTTATATCTGTTGCAGTTTATTCAACTCTCTAGGATCATTAACCAAATACGTTTGTTTGTAAATTCCTTTTCTGGTATATGTTGTTCTTTATTATTTGTTGTTTAAATGACCAATTTGACTTTCTCCATCTGGATCGCAGGTCTCAAAATACTATAGAAAGTTAAATTGGGTAAATCCTGCAGTAATGGGGACAAAAAACATCCTACAAATGAATTCAAATACTCAGAATGAGTCTGTCGTTCAAGACAAATAACAATTTATTCTTATTGAAAGAGCAGGTTAAATAGTAGAGATCATATTAAAAGGTTTTTCATCAAGTTAAATATACCACTTTTGGCTTTATATCAGGGTATATGCAGGAACCCTGAAGTCAAATGTAATTCCTTTTAAGACCTTTTTTAAGACCCTTTCCATACATGTTAAGACCTCATCTCCACTTGGAGTTTTAACCGGTTACCTTGGCGACACACTTTACCTCACATTGACTATATACAGTATTGATTGTCCTTCCTCCTTATCTTCCAACCATTTGGACGCAGACTTGCATTTCCCCATAACGATGTTGTTTAGCAACCGGCGTAAACGGACCTTCGCGCTATCAAGCAGTGAGCGTGCGATGTCCTGTTCAGATGACGTCCAATCCAACGGGATGCCATAAATAAACTACACAGAATCACACTACACACCTACGCAATGATTACATTCAGACAGACTGTAGAATACAACCTCTTTGGACCATTTATATACTTATTGGAAACAAGCTACAAAATGTAATACCTTGGAAAATGCCGTTTAATACTTTTTAATAGCCTTCATTTTCGCTAAATTGATTTATCAACTTTTAATACTTTTGAAGACCCCGCGGACCCCCTGTAAATGATCAAATCTAAACATGGTTTTGTTCTTATAGGGTAGCATCTTCCTTGTTGCATTGTTGATCGACTCTTAGTGCAGTGTGGTCATTTATGAATTCAGCCACTAGATGGCAGTCAAACTATATTATATGATTGGCTCTGACTTCTCTGCACCACTGAGATTCAATACAATATGCTAAAATACATTCATCTGAATTGTTTCTTGAATGTCAAATGCTTCATTTGTTTTATTCATGCAAGGACACACATTGAAGACTAGAAAAAAAACAAGGGAACTGACATTACAATCAGTGAAGATGATATTTTAAAGACCATTTAATACACAGAGGAGGAGGGGGAGGAGGAGGACCCTCACCAGGCCACAGTTGATGGAGATCGCCTCCTTGGCTCGGTCTCCCGTCGCTCCGGTTCTCTTCAGCCGCTCGGAGCCGGCCAGATCCACGAAGTGAAACTTTGCCGTCAGCGTCTCGTACTCGTCCAGCTCCGAGTTTCCATTAGAGACTCGGTTATCAGTCTCACCTTCATGCTGAGACACACACACACACACACACACACACACACACACACACACACACACACACACACCACACACACACACACACACACACAAACACACACACACACACACACACACACACACACACACACACACACACACACACACAACACACACAACACACACACACACACACACACACACACACACACAACACACACACACACACACACACAACACACACACACACACACACACACCACACACACACACACACACACACACACACAAACACACACACACACACACACACACACACACACACACACACACACACACACACACACACACACACACACACACACACACACAGTTAAGTTCTAATAACGGGTCAATGTTATGGAGAATTAATTTGCAAAATGGGATAACTGCCATCTGAAAAATGATATATATATATAAAACATTTACAGCTAGACTAATGCAACTTGAGTGATCGGTTTAAAGCCCTCTATTAGGGCTGGGTAATATTCTCAGATATACAGTAGATGATTTCATAATCTAGATAACAATACATATCACAGTATAGCATGTTTTTTTAGTTTAAAGTTTATAATTTAAAAGATAAATAGTATATAATAAAAAACATGGTAAAACGTACTTTTGTATTTTTTGTATACTGTGTGAATTAAAGTACAATTTCTCTTTTATTTTTGTATTAAATTAAGAATTTCGAGGCAAAATATATTGAATTTGAAATTAATTAATATTTAATTAATATTTAACTATACTGTACACTGACTTTGTTTACATGCAAACACACACATTCATCAGATTACGACAATTAACACAGATTTGTTTTTAAACTTGAATTTGTATGTGCTTGTTGTTAATAATTTAAAGGACGTAATTGCGTATCATGTCTCTTGATTTGGTCTTAATATGATTCCATTAGAAGACGATACATTATCATAATTAATGATCTCCCTGCCCTCCCCTCTGTAGCACAAGAACTGTATTCGTCATATATATATATATATATATATATATATATATATATATATATTCCTGAGCAGCACTCACATTGTCGGAGGCACAGATGCGGACTTGGCACAGGTGGATGGTGAAGATGGCGTGAGAGCGAGAGCTCTGCACGTTCATCTGAGTGCTGGCGGTGGTGCGACACAGAGCCCCGAGCTTCAGACACTGCATCATCTGAGGCAGAAAACACTTTCAATATTCACAGGCAAACTCTTTTTAGTTTACAAGTCAAGTCTTTCAGGATTACAGTCTGGTAGAAGCATTCACACATTTCTCCTCGGCTTGTCTTGCAGGAGTTTAAGCTGTAATGTATAAGAGCATAGGATCCACCACAAATGAGTGCAAGATTGTGATCCTTATTTAAATGTCCATGTTCGCCTTTCAATTAAATGTATTAATTGTGCTGACTCATTTCATATAGCTGTGGAAAAAACATCATAAGTTCTCTCTGGCATTTTTAAATATAGCATCAGTGAAGGAAATAATAAAGTACCTGGAATATGTGTATCTGTAAAGGCCTTGTGACGACAAAGAGGTTCACATTTAAGAGTGTACTCTCATCAATTAACATTAACGATGCCAGACTAGACGTTTCTTAGACCCTCGCTGTGTTACCTCGGCCTCGGAGGTCACGCTGCGGGTCGTCACTCCCACGGTGTAGATCCCTCCGCTGGCGTCCTCGTGGATCTTAATGTGAGATTTCTGTCTGGAGTCTCGAGTCGAGTCAAACAGGTCCAGAACCTCCTCGTTATAAAGCTACAGGGAGATACAAAACAAGGTTCTAATCAGACAGATAAACCACTTTAAATCTTTGTTGCCTCCAGCCCTGCTCTATTATCTCTCAATGCTTTGTGTTCATGTGTCCAGACCCAACATAAATAGATTTAAAAGTTATTAAGGTATCAATAAAATACATTTTGTAGGCAGATTCTAAGGTTTGGCGTCCTTAAAGGTCCCATGTCATGGCCATTTCTACTGATCATATTTCCATTGTTGAGGTCTACTAGAATAGATGTATATTGTTCAATGTTCCAAACTCACATTGGTTTCTCACAGCATCTCTGTATAGTATGTGTATTCACTCTCTGTCCTACACGGCTTGTTGGAGCTCCTGCCCCCCCCTCCCTGTGAGCCCAGTGGCCGTCTGCGAGACAGCGAGACACAGCAAAACCCAGCCCCAAACACACACACACACACACACACACACACACCCGCAGCCTGGCTGTGAGTGTGTGTGTGTGCCCAGGCTGAGTTCCGCGGTGTCTCGCTGCCTCGCCGACCCCACGCCAGTGAGCCAGCTCACACTGTCCCGCTCCTCGCAACGTCCCGCCGAGTGTGTGTGTGAGGAAGTCTGCAGATTGGTCCAAACGTAACGGCTCCGCGGGCGTTACGTTACTATACCCTAAATACGTCACCATACCCAAGCTGTAAACAATGGAAAAAGATAAATGTCCAGCGAGGCGTTCTGGGGCAGCATAGACAGGTCTTCTCTGTGTTAGAGTTGTACTCGCTACAGGGTGTACTTTGAGGGGTTGTGACTCTGCAGACCGTTTACATGCAGACAAAGCTACATAACACAAGGGGACGGGTGATAACTGGAAAAGCATGGGACCTTTAATATACTGTATGTTGCAGATCATCAGCTGAGTCATAAAATAAATAACATGAAGAGTTCAAATTCAACACATTTCAGAGCTTTGTATCTGGGATGATATTTAGGACCGATTTCAGAACCAAACTAAAGACTAGCATCTCAAAATGTTAAATTGGCAATTTTGACCCACAACCTTAGGGTAATTTGTGAAAGTGAAATTCTAGTGAAAGTTCTTCTCTAAATTATTTTAATATTTTTAATTATCGGCTAACTTCATTAACAGATGCACTTTGCTCAGAATTTAAACTAATATTTTTGACAAAGAAACAAGAAAAAACTCAAATAAAACTATACAAATAAAAATAAAAGATGGACAAACTGTGAACTGATATTGTATATAAAATATACTTTAGGTCTGATTCATTAATGATGTGTGATAGAGTGAAAAGAAAATGCCAGTTGCACATAAGTAACCAATTGATGTAATTATTTGGTGATGTTTGCCTTGATTGTATGTACAGTAATCTATCAGCAAATCCTCTTCATCCACAGAGTTTCCTCCCTGACTGCTAATAAGCTCGCAGCGACATTTCCTGTGTGATTTATTCCCCTCTAAAACACCTGCTAGTCCTTCAGGCCTTTAAGTCAGTCTAAGTGTGTCAGGAAGGCGTTAACAGGAAGCTTTTCACATCTTGCCAAAAACTCTCGAGGGATTTGAACAACTGCCTTGTAAAAAGGTCAGATTGAAACAATATGAATATTATCCGTCATGTCATAAACTCTCACCACCTGCCAGTGTTTGATTTCTGTGCAAATCCACATTTCATCCTGCTCTCGGTTCCAGGTCTTTTCAGGAATGTGTACGCCGTCAGGATCTGATGAAGAGGAACAACTGTCTCCTCCTCTGTCTCACATTGTTCCCGTTAACTCTTCCTGTGCAGACGGAGGCTCCGCCGCCGGCTAACCCCCCCGATGACAGCTGCTGCACTTCAATTGTCAGTGAGGATATTTTCTAAATGATGGAGCGCTGGTGTCAAAGCCTTTTAAACGAACGGTGTCAACAAGCCTGACCCGTGACCTCTCTGTAAAGCTAGTGGGAGAAAGACTATACCCTGCGTTATCCAGTTTGGGAGCTTTTCCTAGAAGAAGCAGGTACAAATTCGAGGTTATTTATGTTGTTGGTATTTAATCTCTGCCAAGAAGGTTGAATTTTTCGACTTGTATGTTTGTCGTTTTATCAGCAAGATTGTAGAGAATACGTACGACCCTGTTTCCATAAAAGTTGAAGCACTGGGAACATTTTCATTTCATTTGGGAGCGTGAATTTTCAGCCCAGTCTGCTCTGATTGGTTAGCTGGCCGGCTCTGTTGTGATTGGTCAACCGCTTAGAGATGTCCCGCCCCTTAGCACGTACAATGTATTGGAGCGCTAGCCAATAGAAGCGTGAATGTTACATAGTGATGTGGTTATGTTAAAATAGTAAACAAAGGAGTCCAATGGAGCCTTCGTCAACCATTCACATGCACTAAAACCTACAGGAAAGGGAAATCCCCTCAAAAAGCATAATAGGGCCTCTTTAAGTTTTAGCTGAGAAGCATGTGAATGCAGTATAAGCCTTGTCAGAGGTCTCTGAGTGTTATTCTAGTAACTACTCTATTTGAATGATGTCCTTTAAGCTAAACTAAAATAAGGAATCGTTTATATATGTATCAGTGGATTGTAGATATGTACCTCGAGGAACTGTGCGTTGATCTTGAACTCGGGGATGGGGCGGCCCTGCTGCTGCGCCGCCTGCCTCCGCTCCTCGATGCCTCTGAAGAGGTGGTGCACGGCGCGGGGGATGATGCCCAGCTCCTCCTCCGAGATGTTCACATCGAAGCCCGTCCCCATGGTGTACGTCTTCCCTGAGCCCGTCTGCATGGGGATGATAATAATACATTTTATTTGTAAAGCACCTTTCATTGCTAAAAGTAATCCCGTAAGGGGCGTAATAGAAAACAAAAGAAACACAAAGGGTAGGAGGAAATGTTATTCAAAAGAACTAAAACACTATTCTATAATAAATGATCAAATAGCACATCATGCTGTTTCCGTAAAAGGAACTCCAATCAATTCCCCACAAAGCGTGTCTTGAAAAGAACAACTGCACATGGCCAAAGAAAGTGTGTTTGTGGTAATGAAAGTGTTTTTGTTACTGTTTTCCTTGTACTTTGTGTTGCCATCTAATTAAATATGATTTCTGACCTCCTTCTTCCCAAAGGATCTGTACCACACATGTGTAGAATAAGATTTGTAGGCCGTGTAATCTCTGCAGCTCCACCATACTTCACCCAAACTGTCATTTTAACACATATTAAGCCTTTAACAAACAATGTGCTTCCTAACATTTGAATATTACAATTTCGACCACATTTTGATCAATTGTGCAGCTTTACACCTGATACTAAAGTCAGATATTTCACTTGCTACTCCAAACGGGGGACTGTTTGGTTATATCTGCAACCCAACCTGGCAGACTTCATCAGAAGCAGCCGAGCGGGTCGAGTCTAAATCTAGATTATTCTCTGTAAAGCCACAGAGGAGAACCAGCAGCAGTCTTCAGAAGTAGGCCAGCAGTCAGAGAGCCGTAACTGCAGAGAGACGGTTCATGTGGACGCACATTAAACATGTATGGTCTAAAAGGTGTGTGTGTGTGTGTGTGTGTGTGTGTGTGTGTGTGTGTGTGTGTGTGTGTGTGAGTGCACTTCACATGGCTTTGAATTGTGTGAGTGCCATACAGCGGGAGCTCTGTCACCAGGGCAACCTAACGGAGGGAGGGGTTTGAGGCCCAGACCTGCATGTTATTTCCATGTGGTGAACTTGGCAAAAGGGAGAAGTGGAAGAGTAGGGGGTGTAAGTTCAAGATAAAGAGGGACAGGGACGTACCTACTTTTAGTATACATTCATCTGCTCATTAATCATTGTATCTATCACATGTCTGAAGATACTGACAAAAAGGCGACATATAACCTCCTAAGCTTGAATGAACATTAGTGACATTAATGGGCATTTTGATTTAAGAATAAGATCAGATATTCGTTTTTAAAGGTTTTAAAGTCACTGCAAGAAATATATATTTCTCACATTCCTCGTTTTTTTCCTTCCGATTCAGCGTTAAAGAATATTGGTGTCAGAGAAAATCTGAATCGGAGTGCACTATTACATTACATGGAGTTTAGCAACTTACATTTAGTTTCATAACGTAGGCATTCTTACAGGAGCAATTTGGGGATAAGTATCTTGCCCAAGGACCTTTTGACCCGTTGACTACAGGGGACTGGGATTGAACCACTGACCTTCCCATTGGTAGACATCCATTTAACAACTGACCCACGGTCACCCCAAAAATATAAAGTGTGAAAAGTTAAACAATATAATGCTACACTAGGGCTGTCCCGAATACCATTTTTCGGGCTCCGGATATTCTGTAGTAATCAGCAGCGAACCGCTTCAACACGTGTATTTCGGTTAATTCACGGCATTCATTTTGTTATTCTACAGGTATTGTTGTTTTATAGTTATTTGTTAATGTAACCCAATTTGTGTTCTTTAAAATTGAAAAGGATATCGCATTGTGTTTGATACTTTCGTTGCAGTTGTATATGTCTTAAGTGTAATTTGGCTTGGCTTCCTATTTTGTATGGACATGCTTTTATTTTGAAGGAGAGTTAGCGCTGTTGACAGGAAGTTGTTGTTGCTATGGAAACAACGTGACGGAGATTAACGGAGAAAAAGTAATATCTGCATATAAAGACGGAGAAAGTTAACGATAACGTTTATCGTTAAGTGTTAGCACCCCCCGAACAAGCTCTTTCGTTGATATTGGGAAAAAAACGAATATCCGAATAACGAAATTGAAACCCGAATAGTACTCCAACGAACAAATATCCGGATATTCGGGTACAGCCCTAGGCTACACACAGAGGCACTGCACTTTAGGATTTATGAAATTTTCCAGTCGTATGTGAGGGATGCATTGATTTAATGTAATGTAACGCAGAGCAATGCCAAACTAATGGTTCGACAAATACAAGGTCACAGAGGTTCATATTATACCACAGAAGTCTCCTCTGGTCCGTTTTCAACCCACATGTTAACACTCTCCACCTCTAACATATCCTTCTCTTCCTCTCCTCTAACACAAACATTCATTCATCCCATTCCTCTGCATCCAGCAGCTGTGTCACAGAGACAAAGGCTCACCTGTCCGTAAGCGAACACGGTGGCGTTGTAGCCCTCCAAGCAGCCCTCGATCAGCTGCTCCGTGCAATCGGAGTAGATGGTCTCCTGCTGGGAGTCCATGTCGAACATGTAGTCGTAGGTGAAGGACCTGTCCTTCCCCAGGATCACCTGCGGCTCCCCGGGCATCACGTACGTACAGATGTGACATCCCTCGATCTTCTCCCGGGCCAGCTGAGGACGGATCCTGCAGAGAGAGGAGGAAACGGAGAGAGATGAGTGATGGGGAGGAACACAATGAGGAAGGGGGGTTTATTAGGTACAGTTATAACATGTAATACAGTACAACACATCAGCCACATAACATACCTTTATAAAGCTTAACATTGCCAGTTTTCTAATATTGCGGTTTATGGGTATTCTAGGTAAATGAATAAGTTAATTATGTAGCCTTGGGAGGGGAATCATTTGTAGAAAAGTCTGAATGAAGTCAACATTTTTAAATACCTTTAGAGATTTGTTGTAACACCTAAAGTAAAAGAGTCTTAGAAAAGGTCAGACTTTTCTTCCATACAATGTTCCATCCATTAGGCATTGAACTGAAGACAGAATTGGTCCACACACAGAAATGATAGCGCTGTATTGGCATATGTGTGACACCTGACCTTTAGAAACACTTTAAATAAATCCCCTTTGACATCTAACTGTCATTCTAAGAATCCACGGTGTTATAACCGTCCTAAATCCCAGGAACATACTGAGCTTGTTTTAGTAATTACAAAATATTTTGATCTGCTCAAGATTAGTTTTTTTCGGGACTGCAGGGTCAACATCCTAATCTGATCCAATACTTTGTACCATAAAAGCTGCCAGCTGGGTTAATATGGACTGTGTGTGTGTGTGTGTGTGTGTGTGTGTGTGTGTGTGTGTGTGTGTGTGTGTGTGTGTGTGTGTGTGTGTGTGTGTGTGTGTGTGTGTGTGTGTGTGTGTGTGTAATACTGAATGACAGTAATGATGTCCTTCATGTTGGCCTCAACGACTAGCAATTTGTATGAACATTGAAATGAGCCGTAATGAAAAGTCTCTCCTTACTTTCAGCAGGTTAGGAAAAATACTTTGTTACAAGATCCATTATTTCTAATAAACAGTGGAGAGAAGCAGTGGACAAAAGGGACTCTGTTTTTACTGTAAAGACGGTTATTGAATCAGTAAATCAAATAAATGTTTCCGTCCCTTCAGGGGATGTTTAGAGATAATGAGAACATGAGAACTCATTTTCTAGAAAAGCCCTGGAGGGAATAAAATGTTGGTTTGATGTATCGATTTCACTATATATGTTCCAAGAACAATATGCCGTTATCTACTTTCGTAGAGCTGTTTCACTTTAGGCCCATCATCATTGGACTCCTTTGTTTACCTCTGTAACATAGTAACATCCCTAAGTAACACTCACGCTTCTATTGGCTAGCGCTAGGGCTGCTCGATTATGGCAAAAATCATAATCTCGATTATTTGGGTCAATAATTGTAATTGCGATTATTCATTGACTTTGAAAACATCCATTTTTTGGAGAAAAAAAATGTTGAACAATATGTTTTTAACAGTTGATTACCCTGAACTTTAAGTTTAATTCAACTGAAAAACCAAAAAAAAAAAAATAATAATAATAATTATCATTTTATTTCGATTACGTTGTTTTCGTAATCATTGCAAGCCATAACCGTAATCGCGATTAATTGAGCAGTCCTAGCTAGCGCTCCAACACATTGTACGTGATAGGCTAAGGGGCGGGACATCTCTAAGAGGTTGACCAATCACAACAGAGCCAGCCAGCTAACCAATCAGAGCAGACTGGGCTCTGGTTTCAGACAGAGGGTGAAAAGAGGTGCTGCAGCACAGGCAGTATGAGGACAATAAAGAGCTTTTTGAACATTAAAGCATGGAGACATGTAGAGACACTACATACTGATATACACCTGAAAATGAGCATAACCCCTTTAACAGAAGCTATAACATCTCTCTCCTTTTTGCTGATGAATTCCTGGCATGAAATACCCAGAAGACCCCCCCCATCTTATGTCCAGTGTAAGCATGTAGCACAGCCGAATCATCATCCATTTTCTCCTCAAACTGGGTTTAATTGTGACGAAAATGGATAATATTTTCCATCACTTTTAAACAATCTCTCCTCGTGGGTTCAGCTCACAGACGAGCTTGGAAGAGAAGCACCTGACAGCGGGCTCCCAGCCTCTCTAGCTGCCCGGATAAGGGCCTCATTGTGCCTCCAAGCCCAGGCAGAACAATGCAGTGAGGAGGGGAGTACAGTGCGGCCATTGTGTGAGTCTGAGTGAGACTGGAGCCCCACGCTGACACCAACCACAGAGAGCCAGGATTACAAAGAGGGAGGAGAGGTAACGTCCTGCCTGGAGGTCACCACAAAACCATGAATAACTACAAAATGAGTCACTGTAACAAATCAAAGCTAGTAATTTAAAATCCAAAGTATCCTATTTCTTCTACTAGTTGTTTTTGGTACATTCGTATTTTGCTGCTTGACTAATGGTTGTTATTTCTGTCTGTCAGCTGAGAAAGTTAGGATCATTATTCTGACTGTTAAACACCTGAACTTTTGAAAGAACATCCATAACATTCATCCGTTTGAAACTTACTAATTAATTATCTAATATATCATATTCCAATAACTTGTATATAGAATCTCCTTGCACTATTTCTATCCTATTTTATCCGTTTCATTGTGTTGCGCTGTTGGAGGAGCCTGTGACCTCAGATTTTCATTGTAGCCAAGTACACATGACAATAAAAGCCTTGAGCCTTGAATCTGAATCTTATTCCTCTGGACTTTGCCTTTCAATATCTCAACAAACTACGATCAATATATGAACTTGAAAGAATGAAAGCATATTTTCACGAGTAGCTTAACATCAGAAACCAACCAATCAGATAAATATGTGCTTTTCACTTACAGTTCCTTTGTAAAGTGAGCTTGCATTCAGGTATGAGTGAGAGAACCTGTTTTGATGTGATACTTAAAATAAAGTCATACATCCTCAGAATAAAAACGAAAGAAGAATAAGAAACACATTTCCTCTTTCCTCATAAGGAGCACGTGTTCTATTGTTTCAAATCCACGGTGAATTTTAAAGCAGAAAAAACATCCTTTGTCAGAAAACCAATTATCTTCCATGACAAATTCGCCATTTTCAACAAATCATGTTTCCGCACACACTAAGTGTTTTAGTAATCTAATCCTCTCCAGTACCCACAGAGGAGGGGGGGGGGCTTTGTTTCAGACTGTTTAGCTCTCTAATTGGGTGTGTAATCCTGTCTGTCTCTCTCCCACAGCACTGTCACATCCCAAATGTACTCTCTTACTTCTCATCTGCATGTTCGTACATTAAAGACTTCCTGCTGTACCATCAAGATTTGGGTGGAGATTTGTTTCTTATTTAGAAAAACATTCATATGAAATAGTCAATTTGCATCATTGCAGTTGCTTTTGAACTAAAGTACTAGGTCATTTTGGATTTCTAATATATTCATTTTATATAGCGCTTTTCTGAACCCAAAGACGCTTTACATTTGGGAGGGGGGGTATACAAACAAAACAAAAAACAGAGACAAAGCCAAAAAGAAACAAAACACAACAGAAAAGCAGTCAGGAGGAAGTTGATTAAGAGGGGGGGGGGGGCTTTATAGATAAAGAGTTGAAGAGGTGGGTTTTGAGGCGGGACTGGAACAGGGTGAGGGACTCAGACTCACGGAGGTCTTGGGGGAGTGAGTTCCAGAGCTTCGGGGCTGCCACAGAGAAGGCTCTGTCCCCGAAGCTCCGGAGTTTGGCCTTGGGGGTGGAAAGCAAACCGGCTGAGGTGGATCTGAGGGACCGGGGTGGTTGGTAGAGGATGAGGAGGTCAGTGAGGTAGGGGGGGGCCAGATGGTGGAGGGCTTTATAAGTGAGGACCAGGAGTTTGTAATTGATGCGGTGTGTAACGGGGAGCCAGTGGAGTTCTTTGAGGACCGGGGTGATGTGATGCTATGATTTGGTGTGGGTGAGGAGTCTGGTGGCTGCGTTCTGGACACGCTGGAGTCTACTGAGGGAGGTGGAGCTGATGCCGTAGAGGAGGGAGTTGCAATAGTCAAGGCGGGAGGAGATGAAGGCGTGAATGAGTCGCTCAGCTGCAGGGCGGGTGAGAGAGGGACGGAGTTTGGCAATATTGCGGAGGTGGAAAAATGAGATTTTGACAACATGACGGATGTGGGGCTCGAGGGAGAGGGTGGGGTCAAATATCACGCTACATAGATTTATTTTACAGACATGCTTCATAGATTTAAATTAAACTGGGGTCGCTCAGATGTACTCTTGATTTTGTTGTCCAACTTAATGACAGCAAGCACATTTTAATTATTAGAAAAATAGTTATTTTCCCCTTAAAAAAGTTTGATGAAAGTCAAAAGAATTGTATAAAATTGTGAAAAGGATTTCAATCATATCCTCCAGCCTCACAAACCACATAAAAAAGGCTCAACGGTCAGCTTGTAAGTAGACTTTTATTGTTACATAGATTACGTTTAAAAAGGGAATTGATAATCACAAAAAGTGAAACGGTTGTAATCATTCTGTGGATTGAGATTTTGTGTCGGAAAAATGTGTCTACTTTAATAATAAAAATGTTTAAAATCTTGTTAAATTGAAATCCATTTCATCATCCAGAAGTTCAGATCAATACACCTCATGTTTATCATCAATAATGCCTAATAAGTGTCGAGTCAAATGAGAAGCACTGTGTCAATACAAGAGCCACAAAGACAGTTGTAGTATCTATTTTAGGGGCTCCAGCCAGGGTCAGAGATCAGGGTCAAAGGTCATGATGTCTCTGCAGTGGAGACCTGATGTCTGGCTATCAGTAACGGACAAACACAGAGGGTCCGAAACAACAAAGACAGACATCTGAGACTCAATGTTCAAATGAATCTCAACCCAATTACAGACACTAGCTATGAAGACAGGAGCAAGCCCTCCAACCCAATATTACAGACACTAACTATGAAGACAGGAGCAAGCCCTCCAACCCAATTCAAAGTCCTCTTCACTGCAGTCAATACATCATTTAGTTGCCAAACATCACTGTCAGGTAGTGAAGGATATAAAGGCGAGTTTATTTTTTAGTATTAAAATGAAATTAATGACATTATTTAATTATTTCTAATGGTGAGCATCGGCGACTCCAT